ACTCGACACCCAAGTACTGCATGCATACAACTGCAGCGGTTAACTTTGGAAAGGACCTCGAGTCACACCAAAGACATTCATCGCTTGTGCGAGCTTTACCCTGTGGCACAGAAAAACAACAGGTTGAGCATGCACCAAAAATAGGAGGAATGAGTTATCCCCGCTGACCTCGATTCATCTAAGCTCTGAGCATTAACATCCATCAAAGAACGGGACCAGAAAGCTGAATCATTGTCTTTAGTCTAGTTTTCACAGATTAGCTGTTTTTTTTAATTGGGATAACTGTTTTAACAGCGGACACTTGACTGAGTTCTTCTCCACAAAGCAATGGATTAGGTGCAGTCGTTGGGGCAAGATCCTCCATCTCACATAGAGGGTGGGGCCTTGAATTGCTGCACAAGGCAGAACAAGGCCGCTGTGAGGGCAGTATACTGGCACACAAGTAGTTTTATGCTCAAGCTAGGATAGCCCTTCTCACCGGCCTGCTGTGCCGCCTGAACAAACTGGTGATAACTACACACAACGTCCTTCAGATTGACGGCAAGATCTTTGTGCCTCCCGCTACAAAGGCCACAGTTTGTGAAGTGGAAGCATGCTTCTGTCAGCTGAAGAAGGTGCCGGAAGGTCTCCTGAATGGCACCCTGTATCTCTGTGGAAAGCCCACATATTTTGATAACTTTCTGGCAACTGGACATCAGCCTTTGAGATTCTACACACAAGGTGTTCTTGTTTTCCGAGAAATGGGCTAAGCACCTGTCCCGAGGGTGTCTTGTTCGGTTCCCCCAGAATAGCTTTAAAGTTTCCTGAAGCTCGACCACATGGTCTAACAAACGGCAGAAGTCAAGCGGTGAGGCATGGACTCGGTCTTTGACGTGGCTCAGCGCTTTAATGTGAGAGTCTGGGAGCCAAACGTGACTGCTACAGTCTTTAGGATCAGCATCAACACTGTTACACTCCTGAACGGACCTCACAGGGGCAAAGTCTAAAGACAGGGGGCTCCTCGTTGGTGGGGTTGTTAATGGCCTCTCAGAATCACCTTGTAGAGGTGGACTGGTGTCCTCTAGTACCGACTCGTCGTCTAACCCATGGAAACAGCTGGCATAAGAAAACTGGCAACGACACGTGTCTACTTGATGTGTTGGTGAGGACATTTCCTTAGCGTTTAAAGTTGGAGAGTCTTCGTGGCTGCAAACTGCAGGGCCCTCTGCATCTTCTGTTGGGCCAGAAGGCAAAAATGACTGACCTGAAACACTACTTTCCTCACTAGGCCCTACAGCTTTGCACAAAATGTCAAATGGCAAGTAGCCCAGTCCATTCGAATGGTCACATTTTCTCTGTTCCACATACTCTTCCATGGGAACAGCTAATGAACTGGGTTGTTCATTTTCATACTCCGTGGCACTATATGTGACGGGTTCCTCTTCTGTTTCCTGGTTACTATCGAGCTCTGCAAACAGAGATCTGTCGTGAGACACAGTTACGGCCAGCATGTGGTGTACACATGGACTCGAGCAATCTGAAAGCATGTGACCCTCTTTTAATGAGACCTGGCTAACCCCTGGGGAGCTTGGGGCAATGATTCTTTGATAGTTATCATTTTGCCAACACGGTTCTGTATTATCTACCATCGACATCAAAGAAAGCCAGGAGAGACGAGTCACTATCCCCAAAGTGTCATCACAGTCAGAAAGCAGCTCAGTCGCACTTGAGAAACCCAATTGCCTTTGATCTCCGGATTTCTGAAAGGAATTTTCACTCAGCCTCTTGCTTGTATTCTCCTGGAGCAATTCCCCTTCAAATGCCTGGCTGGGTTCACACAAGGCAGAGTCATCTTTGACTCTTCCACAGGGGTCTAGCACAACCTGTTCATGATTTTTCACCTCATCAGTAGGAGGAATACCTGTATCCAAAGTGGGTTCACAAATCAACTGTTTGTTCTGATGGCTTACAGACCGAGGGGGTTTGGTGGTTGTGTGTATTATTTCCTCAATCAATAAATAGCTGACTCCGGTGTCAAGTGGTGTTTCTGACATACACTCTGGTATTTCCTCTGTCTCATGCTCTGTGGTCACTGCACGACGTTCCTGAAGGCTACATGATGTTTCTGTAGGATCCTCTTTCTTTTCAGTGCAAATATCTTGCAACTGAAAGGGGATTTCTGACGTACTCGAACTGCTATTTTGATTTGGTGTACAGGAAGAGATAATAGGACTCTTGTACTCCTCTTTAGAGAAGGAGCCAGTTGTGAAGTCTGAACTCTTTTCACTTTCCTGAGCACCTGGCAAACGAACAGCAGAGATGGAGGAAACGACTGAATCGGTTACTGATTTCGTTTCCAATGTATCCGGTTCCATCTCCATTAAGCTAGATGAATTCTTGGCTTCTCTGTAAGAGTCCAGTTGGACTAGTTGTCTGGCTTTGAGAGGATCTGGGTCTCTCTCAGTGTCCTCAATGGAAAGTCCAGCTGGCGAACATGAAGCACCAGAAAGATCAACTTCTCCACCATAACTCATAAAGTCAATGCTTTCCTGAGTGTGAAGTGGATCAAGAGGGAAACTGACTTGTGAGGTATAATTAGTCTGTAAAAAGGACCGCCTTTTCCTCGGACTGTTGATACGAGTTGGCTCCTGCTCTGCCCTGTGCAAGACCCTCTTGCTGTGTCTCGATAGCATGTTTTCAACCAGGCTGCAACAGGACGTCACCTTTGGGATGCCAAAATCTTGTGAATTCTGTGGCGATGGACCTCCAGAGCCTGAAAATAAAGAGGTGGCCATTAACGTGGAGAAATGACTTTTATGTTATGTTATGATAAACAGGCACTTGCTTTAAACAGGAAGTTAAAGATAAAAATCACAACATTAATTCTAAAATGGTTAATAATAAAATAAAAAGTCAAGAGCTTTCACAAGCAACAGTTTAAGATTTAGAGAGCAGCTGTTCTCAAACTTTCACAACCCAAGCTCTTGTTTCGATTAATTTTTTTCATAGATCCACCCCCCCACCACCACCAAACTTTCCCCGACTTTCTCGCTGGCACACACCACATGCTGAGCATCTCTTTTCAAAGTGTGTCTGACAACCTGTGTATACCCCACGGAGGCTTCCATTTTCAGAACAATACAGTGAGATCCTAACACTGAAGGGAAAACATCACACATACTAAGTATTATTCACGTATTTGGAAAGACTCGTTTCTGGATGTAGACACACACACACACACGAAGCTGCCTTCTTCTGAATCAGACCCTTGGTCTACCAAGGTCAATATTGTCTTCTCTGACTGGCAACAGCTCCCCTATACAACAAAAGAGGAACACACAGTCTAAGAATGCAAAAAGAAGAAGAATATCTGTATGAAAAAAGATGCTAACGCTGATTTACAGAATCAAAGTAATAATCCAAATACAAAGTTATAATCACATTTATAAACAAAGTCTTAAAGTAGAAAAGCAATCTCTGAGGTGTCAAACAATGTCAAAAAGTAGAAAAGTTCTCTCTTGAGGTGAAGAAAAATAAACAAAGGATCCGGATATTGAGAACACCGTTTTGAAGAACTTCCTCAGTGACTGAAACAATATATCTTCAAAAGATCAGTCATATGCACTCCTGCGCATTGCAGCAAACAATATCTCATTAGTGGGCAGTTATTTACAGCACATCTCTAGAAAGACTTCTACCAAAGCTTTGCATCACACTATGGGAAAACGTGCGATGCAAAGCTTTGGTAGAAGCCTTTCTAGACATGTGCTGTAAATAACTGCCCACTAATGAGATATTGTTTGCTGCAACGCGCAAGAGTGCATATGACTGATCTTTTGAAGATACGGTATATTGTTTCAGTCACTGAAGAAGTTCTTTGAAACGGAGTTCTCAATATCCGGATCCTTCGTTTATTTTTCTTCATACATCTTCACCTCAAGAGAGAACTTTTCTACTTTTTGTCATTGATGCCTTAGAGACTGCTTTTCTACTTTAAAACATTGTTTATATGTGATTGTAACTTTGTATTTGGATTATTACTTTGGATCTGTAAATGAGCATTAGCATATTTTTCGCAAACATATTATTATTCTTTTGGCAGCAGCTCCCCAGTGTCTCAAGGTTCAAGCAGAGATCTTTCGCATCTTCTGCTACCTGATCCCTTTAAGAAGAGATGACAGGAGCTGAACCTGGGACCCTCTGCATGCATGCAAAATCCTGTTGCCTGTGCCCCTAGAAGAGGGGGGAGATAGAAGTATTGCAAGGGTAATAAAAAGGAGGACCCACTTGGGATGGGCAGATGGTGAGGGGACCTCCCACACGAATGTGGGAAGGAACCATGTCATCCATCTCACCTGCAGAGTTCTTGTTGACAGATGATATCAGTTCAGCATGGGACAAAACTAGGCAAAAAGAGCTTCCATGAGACTGTGGTTAGGACGAGTTTAGCCTCAACATTCGGGGCATGAATGCATGCACAGAATGTCAAGTATGAACTGGGATTTCCTAGAAGACAACCTCTGATTCTTGGCAACGGTGTCTGGGTTTGTGGAATCCCAGTTTTCAGCTACTGTGAGAACCATCCCCCAGAACCACCGGAGGTTATCTGTGGAGAGAACAGCCCATATGCAACATTTTTGTAAGGACTGGCCTGGACTCACTAAGCAGCAATAAGGCACCCCCAACTCTCAGCCTCCATCGTGGGGATAATAATATAGACCCTATCCTTAAAAGGTTGTTGGAAGAACTACTGAGATAATGAATGTGAATGTAAGCAGGCGTTTTCGTGGCACCTTAAAAGCTAACGAGAGTTACATGAGACATTGCATCTGAAGAAGAGAGCTTCGGTCCATGAAAGCATACGCTGGAATAAGATCCTGTTAGTGTTTTAAGGTGTTCCCAAGGTTTCTATTTACTTTTGGCTACCTTTAGGGAGTGAATGCTAACATACTAAAGTCCAGGGCTTTTTTTGTAGAAAAAGCCCAGCAAGAACTCATTAGCATAATAGGCCACACCCAACAGGAGAAATTCATTTGCTTATTAGGACACACCCCTGATGACACAGCTCATTAGCATATTAGGCCACACACCCCATGTTCGCAGAAGTGTGGTCATCCAGACACACTCACCTTTTGCTTCTTATTCTGTTTACCTTTTTTGTTGTCAAAACCCAGGGCCTTTTTTTGTAGCAGGAACTCCTTTGCATGTTAGGCCACACACCCCTAACGTAGCCAGTCCTAATGAGTTTCTGCTGTTGGGTGTGGCCTATTATGCTAATGAGTTCCTGCTGGGCGTGGCCAACTCGGGAGCCAGCCGGAACTCCGTTCCTGTGCGTTCCTGCCCAAAAAGAGCCCTGCTAAAGTCTATCTTAAAAGCCACCATTATATAGAGGTTAGAGTATGACTAGAGAGACATGGCTTCAACCTCCTACTCAGCTGTGAGTGACACTGGGCCGTTCATGCTCTCAGCCTCAACAAACTCACCGGGGTGCTGTGAGATCCAAATATGTAGGGGGGAAACCATGCATGCTATTTGGTAGAAAGTCAAGTTAACAATGCCAGGTAGTTAAAAAAAAATTATTTACTGTTACTGTTTATGCCTATGCAATATATAGAGATGAAACATGAAAAGGGCTGTCAAGTCACAGCTAGCTTAAAGTGATCCCCGTAGGGGTTTCAAGGCAAGAGGCACACAGAGGTCGTTTGCCATTGCCTGTCTCTGCACAAGACTTCCTTGGTTGTCTCCCACCCAAATAGTAGCCAGCAGCGACCCAGCTTAGCTTCTGAGATCTGACAAGATCCAGCTAACCTGGGCCATCCAGGTCAGGCCTTGGAATAAAAGGGACCCATAGAGAAGAGCTGACAGAGTACAGTGTCTTGCATTGAGGTATGGAATATGAAATCCTTCAGAAAGGCTAGGCTCTGTCCCAGTGGTGGCGAACCTATGGCACGGGTGCCAGAGGTGGCACTCAGAGCCCTATCTGCGGGCACACGTGCCATCGCCCCAGCCAGGCCCAGACCATCATTAAAGAGTCGAATTCGCTGCCAAATAATTTTAAGTAAATGAAAGCATTTGGGATTGCTTTCCTTACTTTGTTTGGATCATCTTAAGTTCATGTATCATCTTAAGTTCATGTATCATCTTAAGTTCATGTATCATCTTAAGTTCAATATTCAGGTTAAATTGCCGTGTTGGCACTTTGCGATCAATAAGTGGGTTCTGGGTCGCAGTTTGGGCACTCGGTCTCTAAAAGGCTCGCCATCACTGCTCTCTCCGATAGCTCCACTAAGCAAGTGGCTCCTTGTCCAATAACAGAAGTGCTATTGAAGGTAGAGGAAATCTCCTTAGGCTGGAAGAAGTTTCCTTAGTGCTTGGATATTGCCAATGTCACTCCTTCAGTCATTAAAGAGTTAGCCTGTTGGTTTATGCATGCTAACATTAGTTAGTTAGCTTAGAGCCAATGAGCTGCCCTGCAAGCATTTCCCACCAGAGTCCTCTGAGAGAGATGCAGCGACAAGGACTGACTGAGATCAAGTATGGTCCTTCAGAAGAGATGGTTGCTGACATCCTCACCAAGTCCCTCGAAAGAGGCAAGTTTGACCACCTGCTCAAGAAACTGAACCTTCATGGCTTCAGTACATGACATGGGGTGTTGGGATACTGCAAATGTCACTCCTTCGGTCATGAAAACCTGCTTCTTTATGTACGCTAATGTTCGCTAGTTAGCTTAGAACCAATGAGCTGTAATGCATGTATTCCCCACCAGAGAAAAGGGAGTTGTTATTCATAATTAGTTGAGTTTGGGAACTGCTATTGGTTAATTAATTTATTGAGAATGTTCCTTGCAGTTGGTCACGTAGGCAAGGAGGTGAGGGCAATTGGGGTAAATTTTCTCTGTTCTCACACACTCAGTCTCCAACATGAGGCTGAACCACCAAGTAGACAAGATGTAACTTAGACAGATAGGATGTTTATTATTTTATCTTCCAGTGTAACCCTCACTTATATTTTTCTAGTAAATATTTCTAAACGCTAAATAGAAGAAGAGGAGATTGGATTCATACCCCACCCTTCACTCAGAGTCTCAGAGTGGCTTACAAACTCCTTTCCCTTCCCCTCCCCACAACAGACACCCTGTGAGGTAGGTGGAGCTGAGAGAGCTCTGACTGAGAACGGCTCTTGAGAGAACAGCTCTGAGAGAACTGTGACTGACCCAAGGTCATCAAGCAGCTGCATGTGGAGGAGTGGGGAATCAAACCCGGTTCTCCCAGATCAGAGTCCACACACTTAACCACTACACCAAACATACGTTGCTTTGCTTACTCTCCTAAGAACATCCAGCACGTAGCCTGAAGGAACTTCTTCCAGCCTACTGCAGGATGCTGCCTTATATGACTAAGACGGGTTTCCAAAGCTGAGATCCACCCGAAACAGCTATACTGAGCCCCCTGCTAGTCAAAGCAGCATTTCGGATAACCACTCTTATTGTACCTTTCCCCCCAGGATCTCTGTCCGACTCACCTGTTCGTGCCTCCGTGGGTGTCACCCGTTCCGCTGCGTCATAGAATTCATCCTCGGAACTGGTATCTCCAAAGCCAGGGGGAGGAGCCAAGACGAAGCCACGTGACCCTCGCCTGCCCACTCCCTCACCCGCACTGGGCTCAGCCGACAGGTCTTGCAAAGAGCCACCCTCTGTGCCATCGCTGTGGGTGTTCTTCTCCGCACTGCTGGCGGGGGAGATGTTAGCGCAGATACTGTAGTACTCCATGGCATCATTCTCAGCCAGCTTGGACTCCAGAACGACGGCGTTTATTTCACTTTCCATTCTGAATTCTGCGTCCGACTGTGCAAGCGCAGAAGCGGGTAAGTGGGGCGGCGGAGGGAAAGAAAAGAAATCCTCTGAGGCGGCTCTGTTTTCATAATCCATCCCTAAGAAGGCCTTGTCGCTGTTGGTGAGGTCCTGGAGAGTGGGCGTGCCAAAACTGAAGAACTCCGGCCGGCTCGAAGAGCACGCCTCTAAATCGTCCTCTTCCAGAGCATCCAGAGAGTCACTCGAACCGCTGGTCTTGAACCCGCGACCCTCCGTGTTGGCCGAGTCGGAGGCCTCTGATAAGCTATCGTTTGTGTTGTCGCATCCATTGCAGAAGGTCGCCTCTTGTTCCCGCAGACCCTTCCTCTCCAGCTCCTCTTGCTCTCCTTCTTCCTCTGGCAGGGGGCTGATGCGGCTGTATTTTGGGGGGTGAGAGTCCGAAAACTGGTCCAAGGAGGAATCCACTTCGGAAGATTCTTCGGAGTCGCTGCACGTTCGAGATTCGTACCCTGCAATTCAGTGGGGGAGGGGATGGTTTGAAGCTGCTCATGCTTGCAATCTGGCCTAGGTCCTAAACAGAGATCTACAAACAATCGATAGGCAACTCAGTCCTGAGAGATCCAAAGACGGTCTCTGACCGTCAGTCTTGAATGCTGTTGGATGCTTACACAGATATTGTCCTGCCCATTCATTGATCGGGGTATGTGCCTACACTAGGTCGCCAACTCCAGGTTTGGAAATACTTGGGAGATTTGAGGGTGATTTTGATGCACTCTTGATTGTGCAATTGGAATGTCAGGGCCTTAGTCTATGGTTTTTGTAAGGGCACATGTGATGGGGAGTTTGTCTCTCTTGGGCATACATTCATGACGATGGAACGTGGGGAGACGTCGCTTCCCCCCTCTGCTCCCACATTGTTTTTGTGTCCACAGATCACCCCATAGAGCTACTATGGATTATTTTGTGGCGATAATTTAGCGTAGCCTCATAAGTAACATGATTTGCATAACAGAGTCAATAGTGGGCCCACAAGGCAGTCTGAGGATGTGAAAATGGCAGACGGTGGCAGGGCAGGAGGATGGAAATTATTTATTTAATTTATTTGTACCCTGCCTTTCTCTTCAATGGGAGGCCCAAAACAGCTTAAATCATTCAACTCTCCTCCATTTTATCCTCACAACTGTTGGAAATGTATGTGTTTACAAGGTCTGACAATTCAGTCATTATAGGGTTAACTTGTTTGCCTAGTATTGCTATTGTTTAGACCGACCTGGAAGGGATACCTGGCACTGAGCCAATGGGGAATTAGCCCGGGAAAAGTAGCTTTCTACTGTGATACAGATTGGTCATTTGTTTCAGGTGACTTCCTTTCTAGGGGTCAAGAAGAAGGAGAGAATCTCCATTACCTGTGTGCTAGTGTTGACTATAGGCAGCTTAGAAAATGTAGCTGTTAGTGTTATGTTTGTTTGTAGTAATCCCGTGTACCTTTTACCCTTAGAAATAAAGGTTTTTAAAAGCAAAGAAATCTCTTCTTTCCAATAGAGCAAGATCCATTGATAGTCTGAGTATTAAACACTATTGACTATTTTACAACAACAACAACCCTGTGAGGTAGGTTAGGCTGACAGAGTGTGACTGGCCAAAGGTCCCCCAGCAAGCCCCCAGATACTAGTCCGACATTCTTAACCACTATAATGCATTGGTCAGCACACTCCCCTCACACACCTGATACAAAGTCTTTGGGATGTCCACCAACAAACACAAGGGCTTTGTAATATGTAGCGAGGCCCTCTCAGCAGGACCCAGGAGACGCAGGTTCAAACCCCTATTTGGCCATGAAGCTAACTGGGATATCTTGAGCTAGTCACTCTGTCTAAGCCCAAATTGCCTTGCAGGGTTGTTGTGACAATAAAAAAGTTCCTTAGAGGAAGTTTTGAGTAAAAATGTATAGACCAACAGAAAAGGAGACAAAAGTGAATATCAGTAATTCATTGCTATGAGAAAAACAAAGCCGGAGATACCATGACTGAAAACAGTGCTCTCTCTTTCACGACTCTGATGCAGAGATGTAGCCAGAGCTATTTACTCCTTTAATTACATTTCTTCCAACTTTCATTGCTCTTAAAAGCATCTTTTTACCTTCCTCTGTGGAGTAGCGGTGTGTTTGGGGCCTTCCACCCCCCCACACAAATATCGAACGGGTTGGATCCACGAGCAGCTTGTAGTAGCCAGCAATGAGACAAGTCAGGTCTTTAGCACTGTTAGATTCTAGCATCAGAGTCAGCAGCTTTAAGAGAGGGAAACAATAAAATAAGCTACAATATGCCAGACATCTGCACAAACAGGGACCCACACTAATGAGTAACAAGAGATCTTTTGTTTACTCTCTGTTATACATAACAGGGGTAAAATGTACATATACACTGGGCTTTTTTTGTAGAAAAAGCCCAGCAGGTACTCATTAGCATAATAGACCACACCCAATAGCAGAACCTCATTAACATATTAGGCCACCCCCCTGACAGCACAGCTCATTAGCACATTAGGCCGCACCCCCATGTTGCCAGAAGTGTGCTCATCCAGCCACACCCACCTTTTGCTTCTTATTCTGTTTACCTTGTTTGTGGTCAAAACCCAGGGCTTCTTTTGTAGCAGGAACTCCTTTGCATGTTAGGCCACACACCCCTAAAGTAGCCAATCCTAATGAGTTTCTGCTGTTGGGTGTGGCCTATTATGCTAATGAGTTCCTGCTGGGCGTGGCCAACTCGGGAGCCAGCCGGAACTCCGTTCCTGTGCATTCCTGGCCCAAAAATAGCCCTGCATATACATTTTATCTGTATATGTACTAGAGTTTCCAGCCCTCAGGTCTCAGCAGGGGTTTCCCTGCTTTTGGGGGCTCTGATCCACTGCCAGCCACCATGGTGGTGGGGGAACCCCACCCCCATAACATGACCCAGAAGTGATGTCATCACATTGCTGACATTGGGGGGAGTAACACTCTAGTTTTTGGGCAAACTCTATGGTTTTGAAGGCAAAAAAACCCACAGAGTTTTGCCCCAAAACTAGAGCATCACCTCCAATGTTAGTGATGCAATGACATCACTTCCTGGTAATGTCATCGCACCCCACACACTTCACACATGGCAGAAGATCCCAGGAAGGATCCAGGAGCCCCCTGCAGGCTGCCAGGGAGCACCTGGCAACCTTAACATGTACTGACAACTGCATATTTTAATGCAGGGATTCCCAGCGTGGTGACTCTGGGCACCAACACATTTTCTGGCACCCACCAACTGGATGGGTGGTGCCAGATGAGCCTCTTGGCCAGTAAGTCTTCTGATTGGCCACTGGCGATCCAACTAGCTGGTTTTAGGGCTGCCAGACCCCGGGGCGGTGCTTCCCCTGATTTCAGGGGCTCCAATTCACTGCCGGCCAGCTGGCCGGCAGGGGAAGCCCCGCCCCCGAACAACCCCCTTCTGCATCAACGTTGTCAGCGTGATGCTGTCACCTGGAAGTGACATCATCGCGCCAGACACATTGTGCTGCAACGCTCTAGCATTTTGGCAAAAACTCTATCATAATTGCTGCACCATGTGCCTGGCATGATGACATCACGTCCAGGTGATGTCATCACACACATGCGCCAGATGATCCAGGGACAGACCCAGGACCCACCTGCTGGAAGCCCAGTAAGACTTAGCAGGTTTAAACGTGCCTATATCCTCATTAGGAGCTGCAGTGGCTCAAGTGGTTAAGACGCTGAACTGCAGGCTGTGGAAGGTCGGTCGTTCAGCAGTTCGAGACCCAAGTGTGCCGCATGACGGAGTGAGCTCGCGTCTCTAGTTCCAGCTCCTGCCAACCTAGCAGTTCGAAAGCAAGAAATTGCAAGTAGATAAATAGGGACCACTTCGGTGGGAAGGGAACAGCGTTCCGTGCGCCTTGGTGTCTAGTCATGCCGGCCACATGACCATGGAAACGTCTTCGGACAGCGCTGGCTCTTCGGCTTTGAAACGGAGATGAGCACCGCAACCCTAGAGTTGGACTCGACTGGCTTTCGAGCAAGGGAACCTTTTACCTTTATATCCTCATTATTATCAAAATCAAGCACTGTGGATTTTGGAAAACTACATTACAAAAATATCTCCTTCATCCGTGCACAGGGATTGTGAAAGCCGTAATTACCTTTATATCTTGGAGGTAGATTTTTACCATGCTCACTTTGTCCGATTCTTCAAGAAGCTCTACTCGGCTGATGCTCGCGAACTCGGCCAGCATGGTTACGATGTTCAGTTTGTTATTCACAACCTGGCTGATTCCGTATTTGGCTCCCACGTGATTATTCTCTCTCTGTCCTGCATCTGCTGTGAGAAACAGTCCCTTGCAATGGCTTAGCATTCACTGGCCACATCAAGCAAAGATATGCACATGCAAAGAATACATCATAGACTGAGCACCATGAGCTGCAACGTCCATATAATCTCACATTCAACATTTTCCAGTGTAAATTGAAAACACATTCAGCCAGGACCCAAACAGTGGAAATGGTTGAATGAGACATTGTTAAGAAGGGTGGCGGCGGGTCCATTAGACAGGCCAAGTTGCTGCAATTCACTCTGACCTCAAAATGCACATTTCTGAAAAGATCCAAACCTTTTAAGCATTTCGGGCTATCTTCTAAATCAGGGGTCCCCCACCTTTTTGAGCCTGCAGGCACATCTGGAATTCTGACATGGCATGGCGGGCGCAACAACAGAATGGCTGCCACAGGAGGCGGGGCCAGCCATGAAATGATTGCCACAGCTTGACTCCAGTAACACGGCGTAGATCCTTGTGCCAAAGCTGCTGCCAAAGCAACATTTTTTTTTTAATCTGCACAACCAATCAAATCTCCGATAGTCAATCAGAAGCCTTACTGGGCATAAGCCCCGCCTGGTCCCACCCACTTCCTGAAAACACTTGGTGGGTGCCAGAAAGGGTGTCGGCAGGCACCGCGGCACCCCTAGGCAGCATGCTGGGGACCCCCGATCTAAATTAATACATTGTGAGTTTGGAGTCTGGTTACTGCACGTTGCTGCCTAGGATCCTAATTCATTGCATACACGGCCCCATGAGACTCGTTTGGCCGTGACAGGGGCAGAGTTCCTAACAGTATATAGTACCCTGGAATGAGAAGAGAAAACACAATGCAAGGGGAAAAGTGCAGAAAACTCCCATATGGATGCTCTGTTGCCACTGTGCGTGCTTGTGCATACTGGCAGACACGCAGTGCCAATGAAAGCAGAACAGAAAGCCCTCGCTGTGCAGAAGCGGCCTTTAAAAATATCACCACAATGGTTTTTGGTTTGGGCTGCATCTTTGATTTCATATTTTCCCCACTGTCGTAAGCTATCTTTTGGGGCTACTGGGTGGAAAGGCGAAGTATGAATGAATGAATGAATGAATGAATGAATGAATGAATGAATGAATGAATGAATGTAATGAGTTACTGAATGAGTCACAACATTTTGGTACACTGGCTCTGATTTGATCTTCTGTATCTTCTGAAGCAAAATAGGAAGGCTTACAATAGTAATATTATTCAGGACAGATATACCTGACCATGACACAAGGCGATACTCTATGAGGCCTCACCAATATTCTTAGGCTTTACGTCAATTGATTGTAACTATAAAACTCCTTCTTTGGTCTTATGTTGCTTTATTTATTGTCTCATTATCGCGTCATTGAGCCTACACTTACAAATATTGCTTCATCACTGAAGAAGGCCACTTTGCCCAAAATGCTTCTGGTCGCAATCGGTCCCACTTGTGTGCAATGCTCTTTTTAAGCTGTGGAGTCTTGTGAGCAAACATTCCACTTTGTGAGCTACTGGCATTAAAGTTTGTTTACTCTGGAGTCATCCTTCCTGAGCGAAGACAGAAATGTGTAAGCTGGAGGCTAAAAAACTGTGAGCTAGCTCACACTCACTCAGCTTAGAGGGAACCCTGCTTGTGTGTATCGTACACTTTTATTCTGCATTGAGGCTACCATCGGGCCCATAATTGCTTTCAAATAATGGAGACTAAATAAATCATGTGTTTTTAATAATAATAAAGTTACAATTATAAGTTTTTAGTCACTGGCCCTCTACTTCACCTGTAACTAACCTTTCAGGTACTTGATTAATTTGGGTTAAGTTCCCCCCCTCCCTTTTTCTCTCTCTTTCTGAATGGGTTAATAGCCAGACGGCATTGCAAAGTATTAAGGCAGCCTGGGGTGATTGGATTCATACCCCATCCTTCACCCAGAGTCTGGAGAGAGCAGGATCGAGATCTTTGTGTCAGTAAGAGGAGGAGACTCTCCCATCTCCTTTCTTGGCTTCCCAGAAGCTGATTGGACATAACATCCCTGGCTGTGGTCCCAAGAAAACAATCAAGAACCAAACATAATTGTGCCTCCGTTGCTTCGGTTCCCTGCCGACTGTCAGCATCTCTGAAGCAACTGCTGTTGAAGAAGGGGAAGAGTGCTAATGCAAGCGTACCTTTAGGGCTTTTACTGAAAGGGGGACATGCCAGGAAAGCGGGAAGAAGAGTGAAGGGAATGGCATCAAAGAGCTCACCCTCCGTGAACCCTGGCAGCTTTGCTGCATCATCCGGTTCCTGGCAGGGAAGGCAAATCCACCCCCATCTGCTCCCTGCCACAGAGGTCCTTCCTCAGACCCATGTATTAGGGAGGGAAAAGGCCGGTGCAAGAGCCCACCAGCATCCACAGTGCAGGTGGAATCCAGCCACCCATCAGCAAGGCTTGGTGTACAATCCACTTTCTGCATAATTGCACAGAAAGCACAGACCTGTGCACAGAATTCAGTTTCCTGAGACTTCCAGCACCCTCCCACCCTCCCTCCCTTCCAATTGCTATCTCTTGAACATGTGTGGGCAATGCTCCTGAAATCTCAGAAGTCAGAGTAGGAATTACCGGTAAGCTATTTACCCCAGTGTTTCAGTTACTGTGACTGTTCTCTCTGTCCATGGACAGGAGCCCTGCTGCAGAATGACAGATGGCAGAAGGGTCGGAGACATCAGCTGTCAAGCTTCCAGCACAGAGCACTCAAGCTTTTAGTTATGCTCATGGCTTATTACTACCCCATCCCTTGCTCCTAAGTCACACCTAGAGCCATAAACCTGGGAAGACTGAAGTGATAGAAGGAAAAGTCTTCCTTTGGGACAGGAAGGTCATCTCAAAAGGGGGGGGGAGGAAGAGTGGTTATGAAAACTTTGGACACAAGGAGGAAAGTTTCCTTTTCCATTTTTGGCAGCTCTTTGGATGCATACAAGCCATGATGAAGTAAGCTTTCACCAAGTGGCTCCATCTTGTCCACGAGACAGGGGACAAGGGAGCGGGGTCCAAATCTGGAGATCTAAGGTAATGATGAACTCTTAGCTTACTGCAACATCGAGTAAAGCTTGCCTGTCCTCAAATTCAACATCATTTAGGAAGTACCTAGTGTAGGGACAGAAAACTGTGTTTTCACCTTTTCTTTGTTCCCTTGCTGAGGCCAAATTGCTTGAACGGAACATGTGTATTCTTTTTATTCATTTATTAAACTTTCGTATATTTTAAATGCTCTAAATCTGATTTCTGGACAGATGCCATGCCTATTTGGTCTTGCTAGCTGAAGTGTGGTAGTGTGAAAGGGCAACTGAGAAGCTCTTCTTCCTCGTCGCATGACAGTTTGAAGTGCAAAGTTGTGATAGATTGCCCCCCATGTTCACTTGTAGAAGGACACTGCAAAGTGCAGCAACCAGGCACTGCCTCTAAATGTCAACACATGTATGGAGTATTAGTTGTACAACTCCGTCTGGCAGGAGATACTCCTAGGAGTCATTGGTAGCAGTCGGGGTTAACTGGGTTTTAATTGGCACCCCAAGGGTTCATCTGACCTCCCAGGGGTCCTATAAGAAGGAACAGAGAAGGGCTTGCAAGCCCAGACCTTCTCAAGGACATTTTTATCCCATCCTTCCTCCAAGGCGGCGTATATCATTCTGCACTCCTCCATTTTATCCTCACAACAAAAAAGAAGTGCTACTAGTGGGGGGCAACCTTTGACTCACCAACTGGGATGTCTCCTGTTCTGGATGGTGCTGCGCTCCTCCTAAAGCAGCAGATTTACAGCTTGAGGGTGCTTCTGTTGGATCCGTAGGTGGCCTGGAGCACCTTTCAAGAGCTTTAGTTAGTGAGCCAGCTGAGGCTCTTCCTGGGCAAAAAAGCCCCCCTCCCACTGTGGTGCATGTCCTGGTGACATCTAGATTAGACTACTGCAATGCCCTTTACATGGGGCAGCTCTTGAAATAGGGTCTGGAAGCCACAATGGCTACAGAATTCTGCGGCCAGAATGCTGACTGGAATGGGTCATATGGATGGTATCACTCCAGTCTTGTTCCGTCTGCACTGTCCCCCAGTTTGCGTCCAGGCCCAATTTAACATTTGGGTGTTGATCTTTAAAGTCCGACACAGCTTGAGGCCAACATAACTTAAGGACTGCCTTACTCCTATATGAACTGACCTGTTTACTCTGGTTGTCATCAGAAGCCCTGCTACACTAGACTAGGCTTGCCAGTTCTCAGCTGGGGGAATCACCCGCTCTGGGTCCCCTCCCCCCAGTGCCAATCAGCTAGCTGGTGTGGGACTTACTGGCAACAAAAGGAGGCGTAGGGGCGCGATGCTGGTAACACTGCAACGTCACTCCCCGTGCACACTGGAAGTGATGTCATCACATCACCGGCAACGCAGGGATGCTCTGGTATTTGGACAAAAACTCTATGGTAAAAAAAATGATTTCTACCATAGAGTCCCTTGGACTGCAAGAAGATCAAATCAGTCAATCCTAAAAGAAATCAACCCTGACTGTTCCCTGGAAGGCCAGATAATGAAACTGAAGCTCAAATACTTTGGCCACCAAATGAGAAGGGAGCACTCACTGGAGAAGACCCTGGTGCTGGGAAAGACTGAAGGTCAAAGAAGACGGGGACGGCAAAGGATGAGATGGTTAGACAGTGTCATCGATGCAACGAACATGAAATTGAGCCAACTTCAGAGGACGGTGGAAGACAGGAGGGCCTGGCGGGAGCTGGTCCATGGGGTCGCGAAGAGTCGGACTCGACTGTGCGACTGAACAACAACAACAACCATAGAGTTTTTGCCCAAATACCAGAGCACTCCTATGTCACTGGCGACATGATAACGTCACTTCCACTGCACACCCAAAGTGATGTCGCCACATTGCTGGTGATTCTAGCCTAGGCGTCTTTTTGCTCTGGGTAGATTCCCACCCCCACCACTTGCCAGGGGGTCCTGGCAACACTAAACTAGATGGTTAGCTGCCTGAGAAAGGGACTTCTCAGTTGTGGCACCCAAAGTTTGGAGCCCCGTCCTCAAGATTCATCTGTCCCCCTCTGTTTGGCAGTCCCTCACTAACTTCCAGTAGCCCTCCTGTCTATGTGCCTGTGTCTATATGTTTCCATGTTTCAATAATTGCTTTAACGGTTTCATATATATCCATTTGTATTTTAAAGCTTGTTTTTATGTTGTGATTGTTTGCCGCCTTGGGGACCCTAAGATGGGGGTGGGAGGTGGCATGCAAATGTTTTAAATAAATAAAATAAACAACAACCTCGTGTGGTCGGTTAGGCTGAGAGGGATGACTGGCCCAAGATCACTCACATATCTAAAAGGGGATTTAAACATTGTCTTCCAGGTCCAACACCCTAACCATCACACCCTGTGACTTTCTAAGGAAGGGCCCAAATATCTTCCGTAATTCCTTGTCCCTCCCCTTGGCTAGCAAATCCAGGATGAATTATGTAAAATGCAAACTAAGTAACAGTAAGGGATTGTGTTATGCCAGGGGTTCCCCAGCCTTTTTTGAGCCCGCAGGCACCTTTGGAATTCTGACACAATACGACAGGTACAGGTGCAAAACGGCTGTCATAAAATGGCTACGCCAGGAGGTGGAGCCAGCCATACAATGTCTGCTGCAGCTTACCGTCAGTCACCCAGTCAAGATCTTTGTGCAGTGGTGGCAGCTGCTGCTGAAGCAAAATCTTTTTAAAAATCTCTACTGCCAATCAAACCTCCAGTGCCCAACCAGAAGCCTTGCTGGGCAAAAGCTCCAACTGGCCCTGCCCACTTTCTACAAACACTTGGTGGGCACCAGGAAAGGTGTTGGCAGGCACTGTGGTGCCCACGGGCATCATGCCGGGAAACCCTGACTTATGCAGATTGTAGGAAGTTTTTACAGGTGCAAAGTTTGGATGACCTTGGCAGAGATTGCTTTATGTTGGGGATGCTATCTCTGAAGATCACTGGTCTTTCCACTCTCTGCCAGGCCCCGGCCAGGCCTCAGCTATTCCTTTCATCACATCATTACATTGCAGTGGTGGCAGGAAGAAGGGTTGCCAGGTCCAATCACCAAGCTGGCGGAGGAATTGGGGGGATGTTCCAGGAGTGGGCGGGGACGTCGTGCAACGTGCACATGTACGAAGTCTCTTTAGGCTGGAAGAAGGCTTCTGAGATTGCTCAGTGGCATGGCAGGATAGTGGCAGGATCCACACTGGGGTCCCCAATGTGGTGTCCATGGGTGCCATACCACCTGCTGACACCTTTCCCGGTGCCCGCTGAGCGTTTTTAGAAAGTGGGCAGGGCCAAGTAGGGCTTTTACTCAGCAAGGTTCCTGACTGGCCACTGGAAATTTGATTAGTTGTGTAGATATTGACATTTGCTGCTCTGGCAGCAGCTGCCACTACAACATAAGGATCTTCACTGCGTGGCTGAAGATAAGCTGCAGAAGACACTTTGTGGCTGACTCCGTGTCCTGAAGAAGCCATTTTGTGGCAGCCATTTTGTGGCTCACGCTCACCCCACTGTGTCAAAAGGTGCCTGCAGGCTCAAAAAGGTTGGGGACCCCGATCCAAACCATTAAATGCAAGACTACGAAAAAGAAGTCATAGTGATCGTTTGGTTACTTGGATTTGCTTACTGTTTGTCATTATGCTAGATAGATATGCTGTTGTGGTCTTCATTTTGTTGTGAAATTTGTTCAGAATAAATGTTTTAAAAAAAGAAGCGTCCCACAGTGAGATAAAGGGAAGACGTATGTAAAAGCTTGCTTTTTCATCACATTCATTATTTTAATTTAAAAAACTTACCATGAGAGTAACATTAAAGATTTTCCCACCGTAGAGTTTCAGGTCTCCAAGGATCTGCAGGTAACAGAGACGCACCTGTGCTGCTGAGAGGAGGTGCTGCAATTTTTTAGAAGGACAAGTTAAGACAATCAGTTCCTGTAGAAGTCAAGGGCATTTGCAGGCACTGGAATCACTGTGCTTGAACTAACATCTAAACAGATGCTCAGCAGGCATGGGGGGATTTGATGGATCCAAGTGCTTCCAGCAAGACTAATATGCACCATGGTGGACAGGAGGGGTGTGTGGGACTGGCTGTTCCACCCCTCCTGGGCTGGTAACCTGGGGCAACTGTAGCACACGTCCAGAGTTCCATGACAGTTTTAAACATGGGAATTCTCCTGTGAAACACTCTTCGTTCTGGAAGAATCACATGGGAATGTTGTGTGCACTACTGGACACAGTACTGGAGTGAGAGCCCCCCCCATCAGATACAAACGGAAACAGAAGATGACCGATTGCCTTTCTGCTCTTAAATACCAAGGGCACAGCACAAACTGATGCTTATTCCACAGCCAGTGACAGCTTTGTCCTACGTTTGCTATGCTTTTACCAACTTTATGACATTGCCTCTGGAAGTAGTACAGTATCCTGGAGAACATAGCCATTACTAGGTATGGGCATGAACCGGCTCACAAGTATGTGACGAATTTTGGGCGGTTCATGGTTTGCAAACTCAAGTTCGTCGCAGGTCAACAGATGTGAACTTTCCACAAACTTTCAAGCAGTTTGTGGTGGTTTGTGAATGGATTCATTTCCAGTCTCTGCTCAATCTAAACATTTACCAAACTTAAAAGCAATGGGGGGGGCTTGGAGGGCATGTACAGGAGCATCTAGGGGAAGTCCTCTGTGACTTTGATGTCTCCAGCTTGCACAGGATCTGTTCACAGAACCCACACCTGTCATTTCCCCAGAAAGTACCTTCCTGGGGGCACCTTCGTTGGGGGGCTGTAAATTGGACCCTGTAAATCCAATCCTCACAAAACCTGGAGGGCAGGTAGAGGAGAGTCAGCCAGAGATTCCCATTGAGTTTGGTGTCTCTAACATGCCGGGGGGGCATTTTATCGTCTCACAAACCTAACCGGTTCATTTGGTGCCTAAAAGTTTGTGAAGATTCATGGCTAAAGTTCACAAACCGGGCATACCATGAACCACAAACCAAACCGCATTTCCCTGGTTCGTGCCCATCCCTACCCATTACAATCCTGTAAAACAACATTAGAAAATTGTATAACAAGCAGCACTGAGGCACGATGAGTATAAAGGCCAGCTTGGAGCTGGTTACCATGTCAGTCGCTTACTTAACAGCCTCCATGTGCCTATAAGTGGTCACTGCTTCTGATATTCTACAGAAACACCTGGATTGCTTTCCTCCAGCCCCTCTCCTTTCCAGGAGGTCAGAGAGGACTATTATGGTCCGTCTGTTGTCATGATAGCCTCCTGGTTTCATGCAAGGACCATGAATTCATCACGGTGCTCTTTTCTCACTTTCTTTCCTCCAGCCCCTCTCCTTTCCAGGAGGCCAGAGAGGACTATTACGGTCCGTCTGTTGTCATGATAGCCTTCTGGTTTCATGCAAGGACCATGAAGTCATCACGGTGCTCTTTTCTCACTTTAATGATCTACAGTTGGGAGCTTGGAAAAGCAGAGGGGGGCATTCTCTTCTTCTTGGGAAGGCAGGGGATGAAAGGGTTGGAAAGGGGGTTCCAGCTGTGAATGCCTGTAATAGCTGCTGGAACAGAAGGCTGCTACTGAAGCATGGAGGCTTCTGCATATGGGTTGCCTCATTAGGAGGCACTGCCTCGTAGATTAAAGTTAAACATTTTAGAATTATTTCACATTTGTATAGCCAACTATATCTTTATCCACACACACACACCCCGAATGGCCACCTTTCTTTTAAATCCATTATCAAACCTAGTATGGACTATCTAGCAAGTATCCTGGAGTACTGGCTAGAATCAGGGATAGTTTGCCATAATACAATGGCAATGAAGCGGTGGTTCAGCACAGCAATGTTGATGTGAACCTCTTACAGTGCATATGCAAAACTGGGGGTGGTGGAAAGTGCTATCAGGTCACGGTTGACTTCCAGCCACTCCAGTATGAATCCACCATGCTCAAGGGTGTGTGTGATTTTCACTGATTCCCCCCCCCCTTCCCACGGCTGACCTCTGACTCCTTCCTCCTGTCATTCCTGGGTTCCCCTGTCCCCCAAGAGCAGCATTCTGGGGGATATTTTGGATTGCAGGGGGAAGAGGGGGTGAAGAAGCTGCACTTCAGAAACCCTTCCTGGCCACAGAAACCTTCCAGGGGAACCAAACCAAGGTACTTAAGACTACCTTCATTCTACAAAGGATTGCATCAGGCCAGTCTTTCAAGAGACACGTAAAGGCAACATTACCTTTTGCCTGGGATCCAGCAAAAGTTGATTCCTCTTCATGTGAAAGCTGATGGCCTTTTTGATGTCTTTGCCTCTCATGTTTCGGAGTAACGTTGGCGAGATAAAGTTTTCTATCCCCCAATCCTTCCTGCAACAAAATGGAGTGGGGGGGGGGAGCTGAGATGATATTGTTGTGTTTAAAACAACGTCAAGAAAAAGAGTGCTTGTGGCTCTTGACAGTAGTTTCTTCCCCGCCCCCAATCCCTCAGCCCCCAATAGCATAAATGCGTTTACATTTTCCCCACCAGTTCTGTAGCTAATCAGGACATCCTATGTAATGTAAGTTTTAAAGTAAAGAAGTACAGGAGCTCCCTTTAGCGTGACCATGGTAGAGACTGACTGCCAAAAATCCAGGGTGAGTTTAAAATTGTTTGGGGGCCTTTTGGGGACACGGTTGCTGAAATCCTAAGTTCTCACTACTTTTACTCAGGACCAGGGGTCATTTCGTAGAAAAAGAGGTGCAGGAGCTCATTAGCATAACTCATTACCATAACTCATTTGCATATGCCACACCCCCTGACATCACCGGAAGTGTGTCAGAAGGCAACACCCACCACTCAGGCTCCACTGGACTGTTTGGATTGCTAGCTATTGTGGGGGGGGGGAACATGCAGATCTGTCCACACAGAGGAGGGAGAGCTTGTACCTGAATAAAACTTGGTCTTAAAGGTGCCACTGGACTGTTTTGGACCGGGGGGCCGGGGGTGGGGCTCTGCAGCTTCCCTGGCTGCTTCTTGCTCTGACTGAGGGCTGCTGGGAGCAAAGGGTGGGGTTTGTCACATGTGCCCGCCCCCTGGGCACTTTACTGCTGGAGCTCCGCTCCTGTGCGCTCCTGCAGGAAATGACCCCTGCTCAGGACAGGCTATTGTATGAAAATAAAAACCTGCTTCTTTCTTTTCCTCCTCCCCATTCTCCCATCTCAGCTTGCAAGTATTCAGCAGATGAATATGATTTATTGTGTCTGGCCACTGGCCCAAAGCCAGTGAGAATTTTAAAGATGCCACTCTGCCTGGCCAGGGACCCTGGAAGTTTTTTTGTCATCTTCTGGGCGTGGAACGGTGGTCACTGCAGGTGTGGAGGGGGAAGTATTTGTGAATTTCCTGCACTGTGCAGGGGGTTGGACTAGATGACCCTGGAGGTCCCTTCCAACTCTTATGATTCCATGATTCTATGGTCAGCTGCCCTGAGATGCCACCTCTGGCACATGGAGCCCTGTAGTGGGCAAACGGCATGAGAAGGAAAGGCTGAAGTTCCAGCTCCCTCCATGTCATGATCCCAAGCCAAATGCTGGACACTTCAGTACCCCAACATCTCATTCAGCCGAGCAAACATCACAACTGTGACGCATGCCAGACATATCTCCACACGGGAGAAATGCATAATACGTGAGGCAACTCTTAAGGGGAACTGAATGCAAGATGTTGCTTTGGTACCATGTGGCAAGGAATCAACTTTGGAGCTAGGTGAGAAGTTTCCTGTGCCCCTTTAAAAAAACAACAACCCACAAGCCTGGCATCTCTTGAACAATCATATTTTGTTTTTTAAAAAGTCATGTGGAATGTTGACCACCTATAAAGTTCCATTCCCCCCCCCAATTTTCGCCCCACTTACGCTATATATTTCAGAGATACTTTCTGTGGCTGGGCACAGGTGATAATCCGCTCTTGGATGTGGAGTGCTGCCAAACGCAAAGCGACGCTGCACTTCATCTCCACGGCAAACCTCTCCTGGAGCACATCGCTGCAGCTCTGAAATGGAAAGCGCCCAGTCAGCATGCGGGAAGAAGCGCACTTTTCATTCACAGTAAGCAATTCCCCCCCTCGCCCCACAAGCGATCGCTTCTGTTCTTAGCAGCAGAGGGCAACAAAGTCTACTGACTGGCTTCTGAGCTCTGCTGAGGGGACTGGGGAAATCGTTCCCACATGCCAGTTCATCACTTAGCAGTGAAGGAAGTGAGATGCTGGGAGGTAGGAACCACTGGTTCTGATCCAGCAAGGCACTTCATGTTCTTATGGATCTCCCCAGATTTTTTTTGTTGGTAAATAGCAGCTGTGGGATATAGATGTGCAAGATCTGAATCAGGGTCACAGTGCCACAGTGCATGTAACCGTTTATCCCCCACCCAATTTTCCTGACCGCAGTCAGACTCTTGGAATTGCTCGTTGTCCTTTTTGAGAGGGTCAAAATTATTACAGGGCTCTCTTTGTGTGGTTTACTATGCTTCCCCCTCCAATGGGGTAAATTCCCTGTGACTGATCAAATGGGGTCCTTGAAGATTTCATCATCCAGCAGTGACTTGCCCTTGTGAATGAGCCATACAGATTAAAAAATAATAATAAACCCCATCACACATCAAACGTCCCAGTCCCTTCAAACAGTGGTTTGCAATGGAAATGTCTCACACTTTCAACCACGATGTGTTGAGTAATCACAACGAGAGACTGAGATGTACACACATGCGTGAAACAGGACTGAAGTTTCCAGCGTTTGCATGACCGAGACGTGCAACTGGAGGTGGGATTTATATGGGGCATGGTCCTGGAAGAGACACCTGTCGCTGGACAAGTCATGCACACTGAGTGGCCTTGTACTGAGTCAGATCCTGTTATGTCTCCACTGACAAACAGCAGCTCACCGGGATTTCAGGCAGGTATTTATTACAGCAGCTAATACCTGATCGTTTTAACTGGAGGTTCTGGGAGCTGATTGAACTTGGGACCTTCTGCATGCAAAGCAGATGTTCTACCACCGAGCCAGAGCCCCCAGCCCTGTTAGAATTTCAGAATGATCAAATGTGTGAATTCTCATTCACATACCAAACTCTCTGTATGTATAAAAAGAGGAAATCAGGGAGAACATCTTCACCTAGTCATTTCCCTGACAGGAAGTGTTTTAGGTAGGGTTGCCAACAACCTAGAGAAAAAATGCCGCCCCCCGCCAAGCGGAGGCTTAATAGGATGTTATTTGCCAGGTGACGTTGTTTAAAACTTTGTGCCAGGAAAAGATTCACCTGACCATTTCCACATTTCCTGACCATTCAAGGAGCAAGACATTTTTTTCTCTCCAGGTTGCCTAGCCCCTGGTATTCAACCCCACCCCCCAGTTTGAACTGTACAAAAACCAGCAACAGGTAAGTTACATGGGATCTCCTCTGTTTCAGATCTAATTCTCGGAGATTGTACCAAACCTATGGGGATTCCTTTCTCTGGGGGACCTGCCAAGCAAGGATACTTTTTTAAAAACACTGAAGGTGAGACTGTGTTGGAGCTAATTTTCTGTGACTGCGATTAAGCCTCTGATACCACGGTGACAGATTGGACAGATATTCCAGAAGTTTTGAAAACTAGACTGCAATCTACTGAGAAGTCCTTCTGTAGCAACTGCACTGAAATGACGGAGGGCTTCCCTAGGGCACAAAAATGCCCTTGGTCATGTTTCTTCATCTCAGTGCAGCAAGTACCTGACTCAATGGGACAAGCGCCCCAAGCACCCTAAATGAACATGCCCACGGGGAGCACTTTCCATATCTAGTCTTTTAGATTTCAGCTGGTATTTAATTAGGTTGGTTGTGGTTTTGATTATGTTGCAGGTGTGGCCAACGATGAGGTGGAGTGAAAATATGGAAACAAACTATGACCAAGGTTATTCGTTAAAATGGTGCACATTCAAACTGAAATAACAGTTCAAAGGCAAATTGAATTAAACTTACTCAAACACACACACACACACACACACCCCGGATCTTTATATTTGTTGCTTCTAGGGCTGTACGCAGGATTCTGTGTATTTTGCACACACATTATTCACATTGTACTCTCAGATAAATTCTGTGACATCTAAAAGATGGGTAAAATCCAGACAAAGTTAGCTGTGCAAGTTTTAAGTGAGGCAAATACTTGATGGAATGTCTATTGACTTTAATTAATTTAGCCACACTTACCTCACTCTGGATTTGAGCCCCATATGTCTAATTACCTTTTAAAACAATGGTGGTGGAAAATGCTGTCAAGTCACAGCCAATTTATGACACCAATGGGTTTTCAAGGCAAGAGACCATCAGAGACAGTTGGCCATTGCCTGTCTTTATTTATTTATTTATTTATTTATTCGATTTTACCCCGCCCTCCCGCCGAAGAACTTTTTTGGTGGTCTCCCATCCAAATATTAACCAGGGCTGACCCTGCTTAGCTTCTGAGATCTGACAAAATCAGGCTAGCCTGGGCTATCCAGCTCAGTAGTAGCAGGCGTTAACAGCCATTCTAATAGCAGTTGTTCCCTCCAAGTCTGTCAAGCTTCCAGAGTCACAATATGTTTTCTGCAGATACTGAATCTCCAGTGATTTGCAAACTATAATGAAGCATTAATCTGAATAACCAAAACACCATGCACAGCCCTGGTTGATTTCACGGTATTATTTCTGGATTTATATATTAGGACACATATAATTCGGGGGGTTTTCCCTCCTGTTTGGTATTTAAGTAAAACTTAAGTAAGAATCCCAAATCCGATTAAAATTGTAATGCCCTAAGGTTTTCAGAAGCTGTACGTTTGATCATCCATCCAAACAAAATCATATTTGATTCCTGTAAAATCATATTATATTCCAAATTTGAAAAGCACCATTCCTGCCAATAATGACATGAGCCATGAGGATATGACTGAGAGAGTGAAGGGTCATCAATGTGAACTTCTCAATGGGATGTGAAGTCACCACAGAGGTTACGAAAGAATAAAACTGGAGCAATACCTCTCAGGGTTCTGTCAGGTGTGGCTAAAGACCCAAACCAAGGCAGATAGGGCTACAGTCAGACACATGATGCTTTACCACTTCACCTGCAAGTAGAGATATTCAAAGGCAACTGGATCTTGCTGCAGCAGATCCAGTGGATCCCTGGGTATAAAACAGACTCTGAAGAGACACCGGTGATTGTGAGATTCTTTCTTCTGGACTACCTGAAACGGAGGGGGGGAAAGAATGAGTGTGGGGCGTTAGACACAGAATTCGGCTTGCTAAGGACTGAAATTTTCATTTTTAAAATTAAGTTTCTAGCCCTTATGGTTGCAAAAGAGATGCTCGAAACTCTGGACAATTGCTAGCAGAATCCCAGAAGCCAGAGAAGTGGCTGAATAAAATTTCCATTCAGACAACAAGGTGTGGCATTTCAGCAGCAGAAGGACGCAAAACAATGCATATTTTTAGAATAAATTATGCAAAGTAACAGCAGTCATGCCCATGCACTGTGCACAGTTTATGCCAATAGTGGAATTTATCTCCTTCTGATGCAGGATTTCAGGGTTCCCCCCCCTCCCCCTGCGCACATAGTTTTGGATATGACTGAGCATTAGGATAAACTGATTCTTGGACCAATCTGCCCCTGAGACTACCCACAGCACAGGGACTGAGAATAAGTACTGGCTACAGGAGCAGTCCTCTCTCTTCCCCCAGCTAACACCAACATCAGTTGTTAAGAGCTAATAGGGGATTATTTATCTCTCTTTTTAAAATCCCACACATCGTCTAAGGAGCTCAGAGCCCCACGTAGGGTTCTCCCATCCTCTAGCTTGGGAGGTGGAGTGACTGAGCCAAGGTCGCCCAATGAACTTCAAAGCAGTGGGGGGTTTAATCCTTGGCCTCTTGCCATTCTAGTCCAGAATTCTAACCAGGACACCACAGTGAAGACTCGGCCCAGAGCCGGACCCTGGGGGCTAAAGCATTTTACCGCAGAGTGAGATTCAAGATCTGCAGCCTATTTATTTATTTGTTAAGAAAATTTGTATTGCCTCCTCTCCAGAAACCTGCCCAAGATGGCTTACAAAATAATAACAACAACAACAACGAGATGATGATGATGATAATAATAACCAAAACATTGTAAATATTTATTAAAATCCACCATTGAAAAGCCCAGTCTAGCAGAAAGAGACCATAAAAACAGACTATTGACAGCTTAAAATAACAATTTCCAGACTAAAAAAGGTATTAAAAGATCAACCCCTTAAATAAAAACTTGGGTAGACAAAATTTTTAGCTGGGTGCTCAGATGAAAGCAACACAGGTGCCAGGTGAGTCTCAAGGGAAATGGCATTCCACAATCAAGGTGCCACAACTGAAAAAGCCCTGTCCCTTGTTGCCACCTGCCTCACTTCTGAAGAGAGCAGGGTTTGTGAAGGTGGCGGGCTGGACAACATGAGTGGCAGTGGTCCTTCCAGTACCTGGCCCACAAGCCATTTTGCTCTTTAAAGGTAAGAACCAGCACTGTTAATTGTGCCTGGAAACAAAAGGTCACCCAGCAAGCTTCCATGCTAGAAGGGGGTGGTGGTGTTGAACCTGGGTCACCCAGGGCCCTCATCTGTCACTCTATCCACTACATCACGTTGGCTCTCACACTGGGAAGTCCATTACTTGCTTTGCTGATGAACTTGGCTGGACCTAATCCAGATGGCTCAACCTTTGGCTACCAGATGGACGGGGAGGAGGCTGTCCAGATGAGTAATTCAAACCTATCAAATGCATCTTAAAAAGATGTCTATTCCATTTGTAGAGAAAAGACTAAAGTAGGTAGGGGGGAAAGGTACTGTATTACGGTTTAGTCAGTGTATTATCCTAATCTGAAGGTTTAATGGGAAAAGCAACTCATATTTTCCTAAAGTTGCCTACAGGTAGGTGTAGGGTTGCGAGGTCCCCCAGTGCGTGGGGGATCCCCCAGTTTCTGGCACTCCCCCCCCCCGGTGCCAGCCAGCAGGCTGGTGGGGGAGAGTTATTAACTTACTACCCCAAACACGACATGCCTACGTCACCCGGAAGTGGCACGTCGGTGATGGGGGTGGTGGTCTGGTTTTGGGGCAAAACTCTATGATAGAATTAGCTTCAAACCACAGAGTTTTGCCCTCAAAAACAGAGCATCGCCCCCCAACATCACCAACATGCCTACATTACCCAGAGGTGATGCAGGCATGGCATGCTTCTTCCCTCCCCTCTCCCGGAGCATCCTGGTAAGTCCCCCGCTGGTTTGTCGTTTGGACTTTGCAAACCTAGGTAGGTGTGACTTGCAGTACATTCCAACAGAGCTTCAGACAATAACAACCAATTAAATGAGCACCATGCTCAGACGTAAGTGACAACATTACAGTATAAAGGTCAAGGGAGAAGGATACAGCTTCCCGTTGAACAACCAAACAGCATAGTTCTGAGATGGCAGCAGTTGGGGAGGGGGGATTGGCCGCATGGTAGGGCACCTGCTTGGCATGCAGGAGGTCCCAGGTTCAGTCTCTGGCATCCCCAGTTAAAAAGGATCAGGTAGTAGGTGATGTGATAGACCTCTGCCTTAGACCCTGGAGAGCCACTGTCAGTCTGAGTAGGCAGTACTGACCTTGATGGACCAATGGAATGGACTAGTTCAGTATAAGGCAGCTTCATGTATGTTCAAGAAACAACTCTTAAGGAAGGAACTGGCCCTTGTCGAGACTGTTGGTCAGAGAGGTTCAGTAAGGCAGCTTCCATACAAAAAAAGTTTACAGTGGCTGCGGTCACACGGAGCATTAGGCACGCTAGAGGGACGGAAGATAGGCGGATTTTCCAGGCGCGATCTCACCGCCACATCTGGGAAGCGTCAAGCTCCCGTGGCGAACCCAAGGCTTCCCGTGGAAGATGCATGGTAAAAAAAACTAGTACCTCGGAGGTACTAGTTTCCTGAAACCGCGGGGCAAGGGCGGGCATCTGATTGCATTTCTGGTGGTAGTTCCGGCACCCGCCCATGTCCCCTCGTAAAAAGGGGTTTTTTTTCAAAGTCTCCACGGATGCGCACAAGCATCCAAGGGAGCATGTGCACATTTGAGTTTAACCCCCCCCAAACCCCGTTTGCCCTGTGCCCCGCTTCTTTGCCGCGCCGCAGGACTGTGGAGTGATCGGCACCTCCCCCCTACCACGGGACCTCCACAGTAGGTCTGCTCGCGCAACCGCACAGTTTTTAGCCCCGGGGCAAACAGCCACGCCCCCCCCCCGCATTTTCCTGCCCGTGTGCCCGCAGCCAGTGATTGGTACTCCAGTTCACACCAGTAATCACCGATAATACACCTCTTCAGAACGATATTCCCATTTTGATGGTAGACACGTTCAGATGCAAGTGTAGGACCAGTCCAGGATGTGTATGATTGCATGAAAACAGTAGCACACAGACCCCACAATAGGAATGTGCTAAGCATAGTAACTGACCTGGGTGATGAGTTCATCATCATGAAGAAGGTACATTTTCAACACATTGTACTGCTCTTCCAAGACCAGGGCAAAGTATTCAATGCTTTGGATGGAAAGCTTTTCTTTCAAAGTGAGGATGATGTCCTGCCAATTACACATGGCAAAAAAAGAAATGCAAATTAAACAACACGTCAACCCAATAAATAAATTGGTTCATTCTCTTCAATGCCTACTCAATGGCTACATGCACAGTCATGAAGTAACGGAAGATGGTTACATCAGGAGGAAGATTTGGGACACAACTGAGGGGGGGAAATTTGGGGCACAACTGAGGTGGGCACAATCCACAAAAGTTGTCTTGCTCATACTCTGTTCAAGTGAACAGGAGCATCGTGAAAGCACAGTAGTGCCCCTGATATACAAAGCTCACTATTGCCGTGGTCTAATTTCAAGGATTACTAAACACCTAAGATCCCATTGATTTCAATCAGATGGAATCTGCAAAATGTAAATATTCCCAGAAGTGTAAGGTAGAAATAATCACAAACGACAATCCAGCACACAGTTTAAGCAAGCTGTCAATGACAGAGGTATTTATATGCACATAATTGCCCATTGGATTATCCCAGACTATTGCAAATCCACTGAACTGCAAGTGCATCCAATGAAAATAGTATTAAATTAAATCAAGTGAGACTATTATAGGGGTCCCCAAACGTTTTAAATTTGCGGGCACCCCTGGGATTCTGCCACAGTGTGGTGTGCACAGGCACAAAATGGCTGCTGTAGGAGGTGGAGCCAGCCACAAAATGGCTGCCACGGTTTACCTTCAGTCACGCAGTGCAGATTCTTAGGCTGTGGTGGCAGCTGCTGCCAAAGCAACATTTTTTAAAAATTGCAAAGTCAATCAAATCTCCAAGGGCTTATCAGAAGCCTTGCTGGAAAAGCCTTACCCGCTTTCTAAGAAGACTTGGTGGGTACCATATTGGGGACCCCTGGATTATTATGTGGATAGCTACAGATAGGTTTTGGGATACGACCCTGGAGATAATCAGACAAATGTATACTTTTGCAGCCTCCATATCTAGGCTGGATTGGCCATTTTACTCACAGGGAAAGTTCCCAGTGGGCTACTACTCTGAAGGGCTGCAGTGCTAATAATCAGTATCATACAGAGCCAAGCCCCAGTCATTCTGCCGGTCCTGCAGGCTGTTCAACCAGGCTTGCTCCAGGGCCATTTTATCTTCCCAGTCCACCCCCGCTCCACATCCTATTTTCAAGATACTAGCCGTCCCAAAATATGGAAATACATTGATCTGTGATGCATAAGCTTCTACCTTGACTCCATCCACTCACAGTACAAAAAGTACCTTAACAGTCGTGCTTGCGTCAAACTTGAAAGCTTTCGTCTGCCCGTTTTCCAAGTACACCTTGAGAACGTTGGGCATGCACAGCAAAGAACTTCCCTGGAAAACCAAAAGACAGTCCCTTCAGTTCCAGTGTTTTCTTTGGCCTGATGTCACCTAGAGTTGCCAGATCTTACTGGCCTTCCAGAGGGGGGCTCCCACGTATGTGCCATAGAGTTTTGGGCCAAAATGCTAGAGCGTTGACGGGTGACATCATCACGTCAACGACGCTGATGTGGGAGGGGGCTGTTCAGGGGTGGGGCTTCCCCTGCTGGCCAGCAGCAGGTTGGAGCCCAGAAATTGGGGGAGCCCCCACCCTAACTGGGGGTCTGGCAACCCAAATGTCCCCTCACAAGATGTCAGATGACCCTCAAGCAAGGAAAGAATACACACCTTCACCATACAACAGGACCTCTCTTTCATCAGCCTGAATGCCGCTTCCCTGCTACATCCACTACGTGTAATTGGGGTATTCTTTTCTTTGGTTGTTTTAATTTTTAATTGCCAGATTCCCTTGCTGCTTTTATCTCCTAATGTTTTCTTGCTTACTGTTTCATGTCTCTCACTTTCATATTTAATTTCCTCTTTCTAATAGCATAAGCTGCCCTGAGGATTTTGGAGAAATTCCGCAGGGCCTGCAAGACGGAGCACTTCCGCCAGGCTTTCGAGTAGGAGCCACCACCATCACTGTACCACCACCACGCTGCCATCTCTGGCGATGCAAACTGGCCTTGGGAATGGAGAACGGACAGCGTAGACCGATCAAGAAGAGACAGCAGTACCTCTGAAACATTGCACTGGAGTCCCCGTCTTGGATGATATATTGTTGTGAGCACCGATTTTAAATGTATAATGTAATCTGATTGTTTTATTTGGTTTTAGTGTTATGTATGGCAATTGCCTCTTGTTAGCCGCCCTGAACCCACGTGGAAGGGCGGGATATAAGCCTAATAAATAATAAAATAATAATAATACTAATGCTTGAAACTCAATTCCGAGGAATGTGGGGGTCCAATTAATATCAGAACACAGGCATGTGGGAAGAGGGTACGTTTAATCAACACCAGGTAGATCTGGAGAGGATATGAGGATGCCGAACTGTGTGGATGATAATAATTAAGTGCTCTCGAGTCACAGAGGACTTACGGCGACACCACAGGGTTTTCATGGCAAGAGGTGAACAAAGGTGTTTTGCCATTGGCCGCTTCTGCATAAGAATCCTGATCTTCCTTGGTGGTCTCCTATCCAAAGATTAACCATGGTTGACTCTGCTTAGCTTCTGAGCTCTGACAAGCTCAGGCTAGTTTGGGTTACCAGGCTGCTAGCATAGAGAGAGATCCTGAGAAACAGCTTTGCGGTGCAGGCCCTCAGAGCAGATGCAGAGTATGGGAATGAGCAAACAGACAGAAATACTAGAGTGACATGCGATGCGCCCCTTGATTTCCAGTTTGAGTTGAGAAATCCCAGCAGCAGCACAAGAGACAAGACAAAAAAAGCACAGCAACACAATACGATGGATGGGGCAGGCCGTGATTAGTGGTGCCTACCGTAAACTTCATAATGCAAGGGTACCACCATGCAGTATTGATGCTACTCCTGTGAGACATATCATAAACCAACCATGCCCCGCGTTGAGTCACAGCCCATATTGTTGACAGCACTTTCAGGGGACGTGACAAAGCATTCAGCTCCAGAACTTGTCATTTATCCTAGCAATAATCCTTGGATAACCCGACCCGCACATATTACTTTGCCACAGGCCAATAAACAAGACTTACCCTGAAAAATTAAGGCTTGAAAAGCATTTTCGTCTCATCAACAATTCATGCCCTCAAACTAACGGTTCGTATTTCAAGTGCGTGAAAGCGCTGCTGGGCTTTTTCCAAACGAAACTTTGTTTAGCAGCAGCGTTCCATTAAAATGACGATTGCGGTGTTTGCAGTATTATTATTTTTTTTGTAAGCAGGTTGCTATGCAATTTTTTTACCTGGAATGACCTTCTTCCATGACTGAAGAGGGATCCTCACAGGGCAGAAGACAGCCCTGTTTGCCCCTTTGGACCCATGTGCAGGAATGGCACCAGGTTGTTATAGAAAATGGGAATACTTCGCCATCCATATCTCCCATGTCACTCATTCCTTGGTTGAACATGGATATGAAAGATGCACATAGACCTTCCGCATCCTGTAATGGCCTGGCCTGGTAAGCAATGCTCCCGCTAAGCTGTAGAGTCTTGTGAGCAAAAATTCTACTCTGAGCTACTGGCATTGAGGTTGTGAGTAAGCGACATCCTGCCTGAGCTAGGATAAAAATGTGTGAGCAAGAGGCTAAAAAACTGTGAGCTAGCTCACACTAACCCAGCTTAGAGGGAACACCGCTGGGAAGGCCCATGTGCTGTGGGGAAACCAAGGAAAACAGGACTTTTGGAAATTGGTGTTGTGCCTGTGTGGGAAAAGATCAATTTTCCTGTTTTGATTCTAAAATGTATAACCTGTCTTTCCACCTCAAAGCCAGAGTGGTGCAGTGTTTAGAGTACCAGACTAGGATCTGGGAGACCTAGGTTTGAATCCCCACTCTGTCATGGAAGTTTGCTGGGTGACCTTGGGCCAGTCACAGACTCTCGGCCTAATGTACCTCACAGGGTTGTTGTGAAGATAAAGTGGAGGAGAGGATGCTATAAGTCACTTTGGGGGGGGGGGTCCCTTGGCAGGGTATAAATGAAGTAAATATATTACAGTACACGACATATATACGTAATTTTAGCAAGAAGCCGACTATAGAAGCGAACTCACTTCCTTTTGAAAGAGATACTATCTTCTCTTCTAGAGTGAAGGGGCACGCTGTTCTGGATTTCAGCAGGAGCTGGGTTTGCACAGTGCTGATTGGCCAGCTCTTGTGTCAATCACAAAGCCACTTCCTGACCCCCTTGGAACACGGGCTATGCAAAACCAACCCTTCAACTACCCAGAGTAGTTTTTAAAGTGTAAAGGATTTTTCAAAGGTTCAGAAGCATTTGGTTTCGTAACCAATACCTCTATAAAATACAAGTAACTGTAATTTTACATTCCATGTCAAAAACAGCACTAAGAGGTTTGCCTGAGTTCAACAACAATCCTTTTCAGACATTACAAGCACACATACCAGGAGCCCGTCAAAGGGAGTCTGCAGTACTTACAATGCTCCCATTACACATAGAAAATCCACATCTTGCTTTATTCACACAAAATGGCGACTGCATCTATTGGGAGCCTCATGGGTAAAAGTGCGCACTCCCATAAGTGGGCTCCTGGTATGTAACATCTGAAAAGGACTATTGTGTTACTGTAGGACGGAATGGAAAACTATGACCTTTTCTTCTAACAACATGCTGTGGCTTTGGTTGTTATTTTTAACGCACAATCGCTCATGCTTCCTCCACTATCTCACAAAAGCATCCACAATGAGGGTTGAGCAATACGCAAATGCATGTGGAAGTACTGAATTAACAAACCGATTCAAAGTCAGATCATGAGGAAACTAAAATGGATGGTTAGCCTAATCAGAACTGTTCTTATCTAGCGCATCATTTTCGTTTAAGGCCTCCAAAATGTACTTTCCCCAGTTTTAATATGAAAGCATGAGTTTTGATCACAGCCCCAAATCTTGTTTCAGATCGCTTCAAGACTGTGTTTGCACAGACCTGAGTGTGTCCGTTCACTACGACTTCTTCTGCAAAGCGGACTTTGACAGGGTTGGTCTTCAGCCTGGCTCTTTTCTCTGCTGTAAGAAAGGATGATTTAGGGCCACCCTGGAAAACAATGGCATTGGGTTTGCAAATTAGGATGCAACATACACTGTCAGGTCTAACTCGCTACAAACTTTATAAGATCTTTATGGGACTGAAAAAGACGACAAGAATGGCCGAACTAATGAGCTGCAAGACTATCAGAACGGTCTTGCTGAATCAGACTACTGTTTGTGTTCTGTCTCCAACAGCAGTGAGCCACACTGTTTACCCACAGCATCTGATACCCAGAGGTATTCTGCTCCTGAGCATGGCGTTCCAGGACTATCATAAGCAAATATCGGTTTCTCACGAGTTTGTCAGATTCTTTTTCAATGCCTTCCAAGGTAGTGGCGGCAAGTTCTCCATGTTAATTGCACACCGAGGAAAGCCACGCTCCCTTCTGTCAGCCCTTTACCTATGCTGGGCTTCCTCTGTCATCTTTTTACCCTTAACTAAAAGGTCAAACTGTTCTGCTTTTTCTCTTGCCCCGGGGGGAACTCCATCCTGACGTGCACGTCACCCGGAAGTGACGCGGGCACGCTGGGGGTGGGGCCACGGTCATCCGAGGGAAAATTCTATGGTTTTCCCTCAGATGGTCATGGCCCCGCCCTCAGCGTGCCCTGCGTGATCACGTCACTTCTGTGTGACGTGGATGCGGCGCACGCAAGCACTCCGGGAGCAACCCGGGAGTCCCCCGCTCCGGATCAAGGTAATACTTGGCAACCCTACTTAGGGAGGATGTTCTGATTTCTTAGTCAGGTTTTTCAGGATAGATTACAGAAGCTTGTTGAGTCCTGAGAGAATACAGAGTAACAAGGACCTAAGAACACAAGAAGAGCCCTGCTGGATCAGACCAGTGTTCCATCTAGACAAGCATCCTACCTCTCACACAGTGGCCAACCAGTTCCTCTGGAGGGCCAACAACAGGGCATAGAGGCCGAGGCCTTCCCCTGATGTTGCCTCCCAACTCTGGGATTCAGAGGTTTACTGCCTCCGAATGTGGAGGTTCTGTTTAGTGTACATGGCTAGTAGACACTTGATAGGCCTATCCTCCATGAATCTATCCAACCCCCCTTTAAAATTGTCTATGCCTTCTGCAACAATGGTAATTCAGAGCAATTTAGATAAAGCCTACCACAAAAACTGAATTGTATTAAAAAGCCAGTTTATGAGATCTCATATTTATCCCTGAGCATTCTGTCACCCCTTAGTGCAGTGAACCCAGAGATGGTGGCTAAGACCATCATGGTGTCTACCAGGGCTATTTTTGGGCAGGAACACACAGGAACAGAGTTCCGGCTGGCTCCCAAGTTGGCCACGCCCAGCAGGAACTCATTAGCATAATAGGCCACACCTAACAGCAGAAACTCATTAGGATTGGCTTCATTAGAGTGTGTGTGGCCTAACATGCAAAGGAGTTCCTGCTACCAAAAAAAGCCCAGGGCTTTGACAACAAAGTAAACCGAATAAGAAGCAAAAGGTGGGTGTGGCTGGACAACCATGCTTCTGGTAACATAGGGTGTGGCCTAATAGGCTAATGAGCTGTGATGTCAGGGGTGTGGCCTAATATGCTACCGTGTTTCTGCTGTTGGGTGTGGCCTATTATGCTAATGAGTTTCTGCTGGGCTTTTTCTACAAAAAAAGCCCTGGTGTCTACTAATGTGTTTCCTGGCTCCTGGCTGCTTCTTAATTCTTGGGGATAAAGTCCAAAGGGTCCTGAATGGAACAGGGAAAAAGGAGGCTTTGAGTCACTCCATACCAACTGACTTGGCCATAGACATCTCCCCTCAAGGCAGCCATTTTATGACTGGAGATGTCTCTTCTGGCAGCCATTTTGTGGTGACAACCATTTCCCCACATTCCAAAAGTGCTTGCAAGCTTAACAAGATTGGGGGTCTTTATCCTAAGCTGATTCAGAAACAGAACCAAGGACACAACGGTGAAGACACAGCAGGAGTTTGAATTCTCATTGGCTGGAGTCACTGGGGGCTAAGAAGAAATTCAGCCTCCTTTCCACCATCTCAGTGGTATCCCTTTACTTCCTATCACATACACGAATGCTTGACACTTCCTCATGGGAATAAAAAGCAAACGGGTTCCATTCACTGCATTTATTTTTATCCTGGGCTTCCACCAAGTAGCACAGGGTAGTGCACGTACCCCCTCCCCTCCTCCCAGTTTTCCACATAAGAAAGATAAAAAAAATAGAGATAGTAAAACTGGACAAGATAGGAGACAAACAGTGAAAGCATTAGTTGCAGCCACCGGGAAGGGGGACTAGATCAGGGCCATGGCTCGGAGGGGAGGGGTTTAAAAACGTTCACCCTGGAACGTTCTAAATTGTCCCCTCCCCTACCTGTTATTGCTGTTGGGGGGGGGGGGGGACAGGAGCTCCAGAGGACGGGAACGCTCCTCCTCCCAGGATCGCTTCTTCTGTCTGACGGATGCTGCTAACATTTTAAATAACCACAGGAGATCTGATAAGATATCCCACAGTCACTTCTCGTCTGGTCATGAGAAGGAATCTGAACTATGCTGTAATGTATCCGCCATTACCACGTGCGCGACCGTTGGGCCATGCGGTCCAGCACAAGCCCATAGCTTCGTTCCCGTAGAACAATAGCGGAGCGGATCCTAGCCCGCACCAACCAGAGGGCCAGGTCCGTGGCCGAGAGCCAATGGGACTCTCGGCCACTGTAAATAACCTATAGGGTGACTAGGGGGTGTGTTTGGTGGTGGGTTCTCTGTGTATATATACCGGCCTGCGTGCCGGGGTTTCTTGTCTTGTTCTTGATCTAATAAAGTACTCTTGCTGAAATCACTCTTCGTTCCGAGTACTTTTCATATGCATTACATGCAAGGGTACATAATGGTATTCTGACAACCCTTTCAAGGAGAAAAAGCCGGTTCAGGGAATGAGTGCGAATGGAGAAATGATTGGTGGTGGGTGGGGAAAGAAGACGTCAATTTAAGCCAGGGATCCCCGACCTTTTTGAGCCTGTGGGCACCTTCAGAATTCTGACACAGCCTGGGGGGGGGGGCACAAAATGGCTGCTGCAGGAGGTGGAGCTAGCCACAAAGTGACTGCCACAAAATGACTGCCACGGCTTACTTTCGATCACACGGTAAAGACCTTTGTATTGTGGTGGCAACTGCTGCCAAAGCAATGTTTTTTAAAAACCTGCACAGCCAATCAAATCTCTAACAGCCAATCAGAAGGCTTGCTGGGCAAAGCCCCACCTCAGGGCTGACCCTGCCTAGCTTCTGAGATCTGATGAGAACAGGCTAGCCTGGCCCATTCACCCATCCTTCCGACAGGCAATTTGTTAGTGACTGTCACACCCTTGTAGCTCCTAACTCTAGGATTACCTCCTGGAACATCCCTTTTGTGACCTCAGGTGCATACCCAGCAGGAGGCCTAACCCTTACCCTCCAAGGAGCAATGCAAACACCAGTGGTACATGAAGGCAATTTACCGAGGTGCATCGGACGACTGTAAAGCGGAGAGAGTCTTCTGATTCCCTGCAAGATAAACACAACAGTTGCTGCCTGGAGGAAGAGAACACTTTTTTTTTCCAAGACAGAAGCTAAATGGGATAGATCAGGGGTGTCAATCATGTGGCCTAGGGGCCGAATTAGGCCCCCCCCTGGAGTGCTTGCATCAGGCCCACAGTGGAACTGGCTGTCTTGTGCTTCTTATTCCAGTTCTGCTGCTGCTGCGTCATACTCAAGATTGCAACAGCACAGACATTTTGATGCAATAATTCAGAGCCAGAGGTGTCAGCTATCAGACACTGTTAAATAAACAAAATATTGGAAGAGCACTAATGTTTTAAGCATGTTTTTATTTTAAGTTTTTAAAAAAGCCTTTGTGTTTGTTTCATTTATAAAGTTTATATCTCTGCTACCTGGCATTTACACACATGGCCCGGCCCAACAAGGTCTCATTTATGTCAAATCCGGCCCTCATAACAAATGAGTTCGACACCCCTGGGATGGATGGATGGACAGAGATAGATAGATAGATAGATAGATAGATAGATAGATAGATAGATAGATAGATAGATAGATAGATAGATAGATAGATAGATAGATCTCCCTGCCTCTCAGCCAAAGGTTTTCAAAACAGCTTTCACATAAAATTGGCATTGAAAAATAATTCAATAAATAATCAACAATAAAAAATGACAATGAATAAAAGTAAAAGCAAAACACACCAATTACTAAAACCAGAATGCAGCGTAACAATATCAGAGACGGACAGATTCATGTCAACCAAAGGACTCTGAACAAAAAGATCTTGTACCTAGAGCTAAAACAATTAGTATCAGGCAAGTACCTGTGGTGTGGTAATTCTACCATGGAGGGACCACCTCTGAAAAGGCTCTATTTTTGGTAGTCAACCACCTCATCTATGAAGAATAGACATACTGGAATTTCTTGGAAGATGAACTCTGGGAGAGCACAATCGGGCAAAGGCCAGTGGCCACAGAGAAGCCGGGATCCACCATGGGACAATTTAAGCTATATTCATGCGAGCTTTCCAGATTGGTTGAACAAGCCAGGATCCAGAGTACCATAACGCTCATTTGGTGTTCCCGCTGGAGCTGTGACCCTGACCTAGGCTAGCCCAGTCTTATCAGATCTCGGACGCTAAGCAGGGTCAGCCTTAGCTAGTATTTGGAAGGGCGACCTCCAAGGAATCCCAGGGTTGTTATACAGAGGCTGGCAATGGCAAGCCACCCCTGAAACGGCTCTTGCCTTAAAAATAAGTCTCGCTCACCACCTAGTGGTGCATAACACTAAAAGAGCTATAACATCTGGCTGCCAGACAATCTTAGGATCTCCTGGCTATTCTACACACAATGCTGTACAATAATTATTCATTATTACTGGAGCTGTAGGCTTCCCCCCCCCAAAAAAAAGCTCTGTGACACAACACATGAGCACTGCGCAAATGACAATTCTGCGTACAATCAATGAGCAGTTGGGGAGAGTGGTTTGCTGCTGTTAGACCTGCCTCCCCCGCCAACCTCCATGAGTCTGATCAGCTTTCCTGCACAGAACCTGCACACTTACAGGATGCACACCTGCCTCCATGTGTATTCTGCATCTTTGCAGGGTACAGATTGAGCTCACAAAGCCTACCTACCTATAGTTTGCACACATGTAGGGTCTCATCGATACATAGAGGTGCAGGGCAGGGCTACTGGACGTGATGCGGCTCCAGGAGTGAACTGGGGTGGTGGTGGCAAAAATGGTCTTGGAAAAGGAGCACCCCCCATCAATGCTCCCTCTAAGCTGTGGAGTCTTGTGAGCAGAAATTCTACTTTGTGAGCTACTGGCATTACAGTTGTGAGCGAGCGATTTGGCAACCACGTAAATTAGTTTAATTAGTTTGCTCCAGAGCCACCCTTCCCGAGCTAAGACAAAAATCTGTGACCCGGGGGCTAAAAAACTGTGAGCTAGCTCACACTAACTCAGCTTAGAGGGAACACTGCCCCCCACTACCTGAAGGAGATGGAAGGAGGAACAACAGGCTCATGCTCACCTAAGACAACAGAGGGGTCGTTGTCCCCCCGCCCCAGCCACTGGCCCATCAGGACTTTTCCTGGTGGCTTTAATGGCCAAACCATCTCATCCTGCTCCCCGCTGTTATATAATGATTATATATATATTTTAATTGTCATCTGAACAGATCTCAAACTGATTTTGAGATGAAAGAATCTCAGAAGAAACTTGTGATGTCAAATGGGATGGGGTGGGGGGAGTCAGCTGTAAAAAGACAAAAACTTTGCAACGGCAGGCCAGCGCAAATCCCCAGAGTGAATCTAAGCAGTGATTTGGATCCAGGACAGAGTATTGAGCCCCATACGCATGTTTTCATAAATCACCTTAAAAGAGCAGCTATTTGTTCACTGGCGGCGTCTTCCACTCCTTCGTTGTTTATTGCAAGAACGTGATCCCCAGGCAGAAGTTTCCCATCAGCAGCGCTGCCTGCAAAATGTCAGGGCCTTGTTAAGAAAGGGTTTGCTGCCTGCTTTACAAATCATCCTAAATTACAAGTGAAGAGTCACCAAGCCAAAGGCGGGAGGAAAAGAGAAAGACCCAACATGACTCGGACCGGCTAAACAAAGGCCGCCACAGTGTCCAGACTGCAAGACATGAGCACAGCTGTTAATGACAGGGTGTTTGGGAGGTCATTAATTCAGAGGGTCAGCATAAATTAGAAGTGACTCGACTGCACATAAGAGTCACCGAGAATAAACCGCAGTTCTTAAGATCTGGAAATGCAAATCAGGGTGGGGCTGTGGTTCAAGGGTAGAGCATTTGCCTTGCATGGAGAAGGCCCCAGGTTCAATCCCCGGCATCTCCACTTACAAGGATCTGGCAGTAGGTGACGAGGAGTACCCCAGTAGTGGAAGAAAGAGAGGAAGAAAAGAGCCCCCACCTGAAGTAACGGATGTGATGACAAAGGGGGGATCCTGGGAAACGGCAAAACCATAATCGCCAAGCAACGCATCTTTCTGGATTTCCACTGTGATTTTCACGCGACTCACGGATTGCCTAAATTCATCAGACGATCGCTCACTCACTGACGTTCTCCCTCTGTGAATTTAGAAAGGATTGCATGGGAAAGGGTTACTCAAAACACACAACTGCCTGAAATGTCTTCTGCCCTGATGTATCCCTGTGTTGATTTATCCTCACATTAGCAGCAGAAACAACAGTGACACTTGAAAGACTGTCTGTTTACAATCTCATTCTCCCCTCCTCTGTTTTTATCCTCACAACAACCCTGAGAGGTAGGTTTGGCTGAGAGCGTGACTGGCCCAAGGCCGGCCAGCCAGCCAGCTTCTGTGGCAAAGCAGGGATTTAAACCTAACCCATCCCTCTAACCACTGTACCACGCTAGCCCTCTATCAAACCCATGTGTGGCCCCACTGAGAGCCATCTGCTGGAAGAGGAGGAGGAGGAGATTGCATTTATACCCCGCCCTTCACTCGGAATCTCAGAGCGGCTTACAAACTCCTTTCCCTTCACTTCCCCTCCCCACAACAGGCACCCTGTGAGGTAGGTGGGGCTGAGAGAGCTCTGACAGAAACTCTTCTTTTTTCAAGGACAGCTCTTATCAAAACTATGGCTTGCCCAAGGTCATCCAGCCAGGTGGAAGTGGAGAAGTGGGGAATCAAACCCAGTTCTCCCAGATTAGAGTCCATGCACTTAACCACTACACCAAACTGGCATAGATGGAACACTATGTCTGAGACAGTGATGTTCTGTATCCTTGGTGCTTGGGGGGCCACGGTGGGAGGGCTTCTGGAGTTCTGGCCCCACTGGGGGACCTCCTGATGGCACCTGGGGTTTGGTCACTGTGTGACACTGAGTGTTGGACTGGAGGGGCCATTGGCCTGATCCAGCAGGGCTTCTCTTATGTTCTTATGGCCATGGGCTTTCGTAACCGAGAGCTACATCATCAGCCACTAGAGTTGCCAGGTCCTACCTGGCTGCCAGTGGGAGGCCTCCTGGTTCCTCCTTGAAGTAACATCATCATGTTTCTGACGTTGAGGGCGACGCTCTAGGTTTTGGGCAAAACTCTATGGTTTTTTTGGCCTCAAAACCATAGAGTTCTGGCCTAAATCTAGAGCATTGCCCCCCGACGTTGGAAATGCGATGACTTCATTCCCGGGGGACGTCATTGCCTCAGTGCCAACAGCACAGGGAGGGGACTTCTCAAGGGTGGGGCTTCCCCCACCATCCAGCTGAGGAAATCGGGGGATCCCTTGGCCCCACCAGGGGGGGTGGCGACCCTATCAGCTGCAAGAAGCAGCCGGTGTAGCTCTGATAAAGATATGAAATAACATCAGGCACATCAACAAGGTACATTTAAATGTTCAGCTGGTGCTGAATGTCATATAGGAGATAATTGTCACTTGTAGCGACTTAGCCAGTCACGGTCTCCGTCAAGGCCAGAAGAAGACTCACTGTCAGCTCTGTTAATGCATTCCTTGGACTCTATCCGTCAAGTACGCAAGTAGCACTTTGTGCAGAGGAGTGCTTTTGGAAAGCGTCTCCGTGCAGACAGGCCCATTTGACAACAGGAAAGCATTATTTTGTAGATCTCACCAACATTTTGCAACACTTTTGTAACACTTTCAAATTAAAAAAAAAAATGCCAAGACGTGCAAACGGTTTGGGGAGAAATCTGAACATTTTGGGTCCTCTATCAAATCCGCACGATTCTGTAAAGCAGTGTTGTTGCTTCTGTCCAAGCTGTACTTCTCTAGGGAACCCTAAGGTTCCGTGGAAATCTATGAAGAGTCTCCCTTCTTTGAGAAGCCTTGGTAATGGTAACAGACTTGCCCTATTTTTTGCCACTGTTTGCTACTGTTTGGAAGGACTGCTGCTACCCACTTACGCACAGAGAGAAAGGATGTCACAAAGGAGCAGCTGGAAATCGTGCGGAATGGATCCCTCCACTGCTTTGACCCTTGGCATGCCCTTCACTACAATGTACTGCTAGAGCTTCGTTTGAGTGTTTCCTGTTCACACAGACCTGGTTTGACACCAGCAGGGGGTTTTTTTGTAGAAAAAGCCCAGCAGGAACTCATTAGCATAATAGGCCACACCCAACAGTGGAAACACATTAGCATATTAGGCCACACCCCTGTCAGAGCAGCTCATTAGCATATTAGGCCACACCCCACGTTACCAGACGTGTGGTCATCCAGCCACACCCACCCTTTGCTTCTTATTCTGTTTACCTTGTTTGTTGTCAAAACCCAGGGCTTTTTTTGTAGCAGGAAATGTTAGGCCACACACCCCTAATGTAGCCAGTCCTAATGAGTTTTTGCTGTTGGGTGTGGCCTATTATGCTAATGAGTTCCTGCTGGGTGTGGCCAACTTGGGAGCCAGCCGGAACTCCATTCCTGTGCGTTCCTGCCCAAAAATAGCCCTGGACACCAGCAAGGATTTCACTCTAGTTCCTGTCATGTGACTGAGCTGCTCCAGCTAAGTGGGTCTCATACTGCTGCATGGGGGTTAAAGGGGGTGTCTGGAGTCTGAAAAGGTCAAAGACTACCATTCTAGACCAGCTAAATTCAAGTCCAGTAGCACCTCAGAGATCGATAAGATTTTGGGAGTATAAGCTTTCGAGAGTCAAAGCTCCCATTCGTCTCTATGGTGCTAGTGGACTCCAATCTGGCAGTTCTGCTGCGAACCTACACGGCTACCCTCCGAAACCTTTCTATACTACTGTCTGGAGATCCGTTGTAATTCAACGGGAAGTTTGCATTAGGGTTGCCAATGTCCAAGTAGCACCTGGAGATCTCCCACTATGACAATTGAACTCCAGACGACCAAGGTCAGTTCCCCTGGAGTAAATGGCCACTCTGGATGGTGGACTCTATGGCATTGTACCCCACTGAGGTCCCTCCCCCCCAACCCCACCCTCCCCAGAATCCTTCCTGGCTCGTAGGGATTCCGTAGTGGAGGAAACAGGCATGGTGGAGGGTGTTCTCTGAGGACAGGAAGACTAAAAATGTCCGCTCCGAATAGGGCTGCCAAATGCCCCTGGGGGGCGGATTTCCCCCCGCTTTCAAGCCCCGATTCCCGCTCCCGCAGAATCAGGGCCCGGGGGAAAACCCACCCCCGCATTCGCGTCACCCGGAAGTGACATCACACACTGGGGGCGGGGCCACGCCATTTGAGGGGAAAACAAAGAGTTTTCCCCTCAAATGGCGTGGCCCCGCCCCCAGCGTGCGACGTCACTTCCGTGTGACGCACGCGCGCGACAGACGCCGGCCGGGAGCCCCCCGCTCCCGGCCGATTCACATTTGGCAACCCTAGCTCCAAAGCAAGGATTCCATTTTGTTTGCCACAAAAGATGTGCATAAAACCAGCAGCGAATGGGAGCAATCGACAGGATCGCGTGAGAGTGCTTTAAAGACAGGCATTGTTGGCAGGGCCCCTACAGATTTTAGAGACGCCTTCCTTCCCGAAGATCAACCTTGAGCACTCAGTCAACTGTACGGAATTTTGATTTATTTCCTCTGGCATGGAAAATGCACAGGTAATTATCAGCCGCTTATTCTGTTTATTGGCTCAATATAGCACAAGCCCACTCTTCTGGGTCTGATGCCCCTGCCAAGAAGTGCTCTAATTAACTTATGTCCCAGTTAACAAGACCAGACCATTCACACTGGCCTGAATGCTTTCTATCCGGGCTGCACCAGACCTAGTCTCATTCCCTACTGAATAGGCCAAGCTTGGCAGACAGAGCTCCAGGGGTCATTTCGTAGAAAAAGAGGTCCAGGAGCTCATTAGCATAACTCATTAGCATAACTCATTTGCATATGCCACACCCCTGACATCACCGGAAGTGTGTCAGAAGGCAACACCCACCGCTCAGGCTCCACTGGACTGTTTTGGATTGCTAGCTATTGGGGGGGGGGGAAGGGCTCTGCAGCTTACCTGACTGCTTCTTGCTCTGACTGAGGTCTGCTGGGAGCAGGGGGTGGGGCTTGTTGCATGTGCCCACCCCCTGGGCTCTTTACTGCCGGAGCTCCGCTCCTGTGCGCTCCTGCAGGAAATGACCCCTGCAGAGCTCCATGGAAGGAGGAGCACATGAGTATCTGAGAAGGGTAACGTTAGGTCAGAATAGACTGGATGCACAAACTGAAAGGACAGATCCCAGCTACAGTCCTACCCACAAGAGTCTAAAGGGGCTTAATCAGACAGAACTGCGGGAAGGATTACAGAGGGTTGCCAGTCAGCAGCTGGCAACCAGTAGGAGTCGGGCAAAGGCGTTAAGTCAGGGAAAACCCACTGCTCTAGGAATGGCTGAAAACTCTATGGTGAAGGCTTACCATTTATCAACCATTTAACGTGTAACTGAATGACATCTATACAAGTGTGATGCTCAGCAATACGGCAACAGGATATTAAAAAAGGACAAGGACGAAATATAGAAACGGTTTCTTACTCTAGGTTTTCAGTTTGTGGGAAACTAAGGTCAGAACTGTCTATTTCGAAATTCTGTAAGAGCGCAGCAAAAGTACAGGATGTGGGACCAGGTACAACATTCAGCTTCCTAAGAATTTCCAGTTTTCTGTCTTTTGCAATATTATTTATTTACTGTCTTTCTAGCCCACCTTTCTTGCTGAGATTCAAGGCATATCACACGATATAAAACCATGTAATGAAACAGCACTGAAGTCTGTTTTGAGGACAGTAGTTCTGGCCTTGTAATGCTGATCGGCTTTATTCAAATTAACAGGATCACCTATAGAGGTTTACTGTGAATTAGATGTTATGAGTAGGTAATTAATGAATTTTATCACCTGTATCTGATCAGAGGTATTTATACAAAAGGTTTTCCCTATGTATTGTGGTATGTTTGCAACAATATTGACCTCTTTTTGATACTTTGTGCCACTGAGCCAAAATGTGTTTAGTTCTTTCATGATATATGTTGTGCAGTTTTGGCCCTTATGCAATCAACGTTTTTGCATCTTTGAAACGCTTCAGTCCTCCATCTTAGCCAGACCGGAAGCCTCGTGACCTGCAAGAACTTGAGGGGGGCATCTCGTTTCCCCTCCCACACTGTTCCCCATTTCTCTTCCCTGAAAGCACCCACAGCCACTCCCCTTTTCCTGCCTCCTTCTCTCCTTCCTACCCAACAGCCAACTTACATTTATCCTCTTCCCGTCTTCAATTTTCCCTCCTTCCCTACCTCTGGCAGCCTCTCCCAGGCCTGGGTGAGTCATGCAAATTGGGTAGTAGCAAGTTGCCTGGTGGTTGCTGCCAGTCCTGACTCTGGTGAGTCCTCCCTTAAAGGACCAAATCAGACCTAGAAAGGACCCTGCCACCTCTCTGCCTTTTACTGACAGAAACCAAGCCTGGAATGCTGGTAATACTATTATGGTTGTCTAGTAACAGCCACTGATGGCAACTATTCTTTAAAGCTACAGGCATTCCTTTAATCATTATGAAGGGTCTTAATCCTATATATTTGTAGCCCACCTTTCTTGCTGAGACTCAAGGCAGATCACACTATATATATTTCCCCAATTTATACATACAGACACACACACTCCCCCCCTTTTTCTCAACCTCTTGCGTAACCTACTCAATCTGTCTTTTCTGGCTGGGTTTCTTTCCCCTTTTTTCTTTTTATTGAGAGTGGAGATTCGAACCTGGATCTTTCACATCCTAGCCTGACACTCTAACTCTACACCTTGCTGGCGCCGGTATTGCAGGATGCCTGTGTGATTCTTCCAAACATGCATGTTTCTACTGCTGGATAGTGGCCAAATCTTTGTACTTGCCAAAATGAATGACTGTCTGGTTTTAGAAAATTGGATTATGTGTTCCTTTGTAGATTAGAGCCTTATAATGCTGCTAAAACATGGCTTTGGCAAAAAATCAGCAGTACATGGAATTAAAATGGTGTTTATGCATAGCACTTAATAGAGCACTATATTCTCATTACAACCTTTAATTCCGGTCTGCATAGGTAAGATGCTAAGTATACTTTTCAGAAGTAAGTCCCATTCAGTTCTGGAAAGTGTGCTTAGGGCTGCATCCTTTAAGCAGCAAAAGTTTAGCACTTATTCCTTCATAATTACTTAAAATTGCCTTTGAATTAGTCACTTCCAATTCCTTCCTAGTCCCTGACATTCTTGAGATCAGCACTCAATTATTTCCTGATCCCTCCTGGTAATTTGGGACTTGAATTACTTGTTTCCTCTTGCCATCAGAGCCATCCCACTACTTGACCTGTTTATTTATTTTGGTGGGGTTTTTTTATCATCTCAATTGTGCTTTACCCCCCAAAATATTATTGGACTAGTAAAATAAGATTTTTAAAAGGCAAAACTCCAGTACGGTGGAACATCTGCACGACATGGCATGTAATGGCAATGCAGACAGACGCACACAGCAAGCAATACAGAACAACTTGGGGGGGGCATCACTAACCATATGGTCAGCTGCCCCGAGCCCCTCTTTCCACTTAGTGCTTCTATTGAACTGTGCCGATCCACACTGTACAGCCAGGTGCAGCAATTCAATTGCATCCCGAGTCAGATCATCACCACAAACTCCATCTTTAAAAAGACAGGAGGCAACAAGGAAAACATTGGAATGCAACAGTCTGGGCAAGGACAATGTCTGGATCCTCTGCGAAAAATGCCTGAATGAACAATGTCAACTGCAGAGAACACAGCGAGCGTACACCCATCTGGTCCTAAGTAGATTTACTCAGAAGGAAGCCCAGTGCTGCTGGGGAAATCCTGCCTTACCCCACGGAGTTCCACGGGATTTGATCTTCTCTCCCATGCTATTTAAAACCTCCATAAACCTGCTAGGAGAGGTCCCCAGGGGGTTCGGGCTGCGGTGTCACCAATATACGGATGATGCCCAGCTCCACCTATCTTTTCCACCTAATTCCAAGGATGCTGTTGATGTTCTGAACTGGTGCTTGGAGTCAGTATTGGGCTGGATGAGGGTGAACAAGCTGAAACACCCCTGAGTACATTCAATGGGCCATGGTCCATCTCTTCCCCATGCATACGGGCAGGCTACTAATACCATGAACAAAGCCTTGCATCAATGCACCTGCCTTTTTTAAAAGAACTGATACGTATCTAGCACCAGTATATGATCATATTTAATAACTGTAATAGCTGGTAAATATATTTATCAGCTCCCAAGGTAAAGAACAAAACAATAAACAACTTCAGTACAACAGTACCACTATAGAATCGGAACTAAAAACGGCAAAACGCTAAAACCCATGACCTTGCAACAAGAACATGCAATAACAAAAATTCCCTTTTTAAAAAAGTGGCAGTGTTCACTTTCAGAATATACCAATCAAAATCAGAAAGTGTTTTTTGGTATGACAAGGTCTCCTCTTACCAGTGAAAACTGGTTTAGGAAGTGGGCAAAACAGACTTCCCTTAGCAGGGAATTCTGCAGCATACGATCCACAACTGAAAAAGCTCTGCGCCTTTTCTGGGTGGAAAAACAGAACTGGATCAGGACTTCAGGGAGCAGGCAGAAACATATGGAATGAGGCAATCCCTAAAAGCCCCGGGCTGGTTCAGGCAATCCAGCTGAGGCATAAAACTCAGGACCGAACACCACACAGCGTTCATTAAGTCTGGATGTGGAGGTCCCCATTCGTGTTCATGGCCAGTAACCATTGATCGACACATTTTCTAGGAATATGTCTAATCTGTTTTTAAAACCATCCGTGCTTGTGGCCACCAACACGACATCCTTTTGCAGTGAATTCTACAATTGCTCAGCGAGTAAAGAATATTTCCTCCTGTCTGTCTTCACTGTATTGCCCATCAAACTTCACTGGGTACCTTTGAGTCACGCATTACAGGGGGGGGGGAGACTTCTCTCTGTCCACTTTCTCCACGTAATGCATAAGTTTATAAACCTTTATCACCACCCCCAGCCATCTTTCGTCTCATCTTAAAAAGCATCACAATCTTTAGACTTTTCTCATTGCAAAGATGCTTCAACCTGTTCTTCATTTTGGTTGCCCTCTTCTGAACTTTCTCCAGCTCTACAGTGTGTTTTTTGAGGTGCAGCAACCAGAACTGCACACAGTGTTCCAAATGAGGCCAAGCCAAGGGTAGGACCCATACAGAGCATATTGTCGTAGTCTAAATGGGAGGCTGCTGCAGCATGGATGAGGACTGCGAAGTCTCGTGACAGAGTGGAAGGGTTGCAAGCTGGAATACCTGGCAAAGTTGATAAGTGGCACTACTAGCCACTGCTGCTATCGGAGCCTGAAATAGCAATGCCAGGTCCAAAAGAACAACCAGGTTTCATTTCTAAGAAATGAAGTCATTCCATATCCACTGAAAGCCACCAAAGATTTAATCATTGGTCCATTCGAATAAATACCTGGCTGTATTATCCCGTGACCGACGCAGCCATTTTGCTACCATCTGCTCTATCCTACGTGCTTTGCGGCTCTCTAGATCTTCCATTTACCTGCAAGAGAAAGAAATGAATCTTTATTATAAAATCCAGGGCCTCCAACTCTCAAAGCTTGATTAGATGCTCACTACCAAGAGGTTATTTTAGAGCAGGGGTGTCAAACATATGGCCCGGGGGCCGGAACCAGCCCATCCCGGGCTCTTATCTGGCCCACAAGCAACTAGTGCGAGGAAGGGGAGGCAGGAGACTGCTTGGGGTAACAGTGGGTGAGCAGGCACACACGATGAGGTGTGTGTTGCCAAAGCTGTCAAGAAACAGAAAGTAAATGGCTGGGACGGGGCTAAGAGGCTGAGTTAAAATAGTGTGGGAGAATGGCAATGAAGAAAGAGGAGGTGTGGTGTTTTTCCTACAGCTCAGAGAGGATTGGTGAACCCACTACATGGGGGGTGGAGCCAAGCCGCTGTCGCTGCCACCACTGCACCAAACGGTGACCGTGAGGAGAGTTGGTGAGAGTAGGTGTGTGGAGTGGTGGTTTGCTGATAAAGGGATGGGGCCGGCAAGGGAGAAAGGAGGTGGAGGGCTGGCGTGTACCACTACATGGGGGGTGGAGCCAAGCAGCTGTCGCTGCCACCACTGCACGAAATGGTGACCGTGAGGAGAGTTGGTGAGAGTGGGCGTGTGGAGTGGTGGTTTGCTGATGAAGGGATGGGGCCGGCAGGGGAGAAAGGAGGGGGAGGGCTGGCGTGTACATTGGGAGGCAACTGGGCTGTCTTGTGCGTGCCACTCTGAGAGGAAAGAGTACAAATAATATCATTATTTGGGTTTACCTGTGTCATTTATAAAGTTTATATCTCCGGTACCCGACATTACATTTTATGGCACACATGGCCTGGCCCGACAAAGTAACATTTACGTCATGATCTGGCCCTCGTAACAACTGAGTCTGACACCTGTGTTTCGGAGTCTTCAGATAAGGAGCTTCAGGAATGCATTCTGTGGCACTATATTTTTTCATAGCAAAAGTGATTTTTCTAAGATTCCATGCATTCTCGGCTAGAATAGAAACAGAAACTCATCCAACTGCATGTGCACGCCTTTATAGCTAATTCTGAACACAGCCCCTGAGTGCAGATCAAAAATTCCACACAATGAGGCCATGTACAGATAGAGGGATATTTCAACACAGAGTCTTGGAATGTCCGTTTTATACAGTGACCTAATATCCTGTCTATTAAAGAATTGCGTGTGCGTGTATATACACACACACACAAGTATATGTAAGATTATTAGAGAAGGAAAAAAATAAGGAAGGAAAGGATTGGTAAGAACGACTTTCCCACCAGAAAGCCGGCGTGGAGTAATGGTTAGCATACTTGGATTGGCAGGACTGGGTCCCAACCTGAATTCTATTACAGAGTTCATTGGATAATCTGAGACTACTTCTCAGGCCAATTTACATCACAAGGTTGTCATGAGAATAAAGTGGGAAGAAACCCATGCACACCATTTTGAGATCCTAAAAGTGACAGGATAGAAATGAGAGTGAGAAACAAAACCTTTCTCCCAGGTGGTGATTACTATGGGGATTCTTAGAACTTGCCGCAGCTAGGCACATCTGGGTCTATTCATTATCTGGATGATGGACCTCCTGAACATCTCAAGCAAGATATATTTATCACCTCCTGGGTCTGCCCAGTCAGCAGCTAGGTCCGGACAATTTGGAGTTGTATTCGGTTGGTGGCAGTGCAGGCCCAGGAAAGAATGCCAATCATTTCCAGTGCTGATGATGCCTGGGGCAATCTCCAAGCAGTCAATTGGGTGCCTTGGCTTAAAAACCTGCCCTGAGATGGGGGGATTGGGAGTATTGCATGTCCTAATTGTTCCTATTAGCCAGAGACAGTCCCTGTGTTATGCTAACCACCCCTGCTAATACACTATCCCCATTTTATCTTTGTGAATTGCTAGTATTTTCATCTTTCTGAGTAATGTGTCCTCCCTGGGGTCTCTAGAAGTTAAATATCTGAGCAGACGAACAGACACATCTGAGACCCAGTGTGGTGCAGTGGTTAGAGTGCCAGACTAGGATCTGGGAGACCCAGGTTCAAGTCCCAACTCTGCCACGGAAGCTTCCTGGGTGACCTTGGGCCAGTCACACAGCGCCAAACTCGGTGATGCAGTATCACAGCCAAACTCGGTGATACTGCATCCCCAAATTCTCCACAGGGATACAGTGCCATTTTAGACCCTGTTTTTTTAAAAACAAAGGGCCCATCCTGGTGGGAACCATGGTGTGTGGGGGGGAGTAGGGGCTTCTGTTTCCCCTTGTGCTATGTTCAAAAGCTGAAACAGCCACCTGTTCCGGCTCTTGAAATGGCATTGAGGGAGGAAAGGAGCCCCCGTCCCCCCACGCTGCATTCCCCAAGTGGAATCAGTCCCCTCTCTGCAGTGTTTTGACATTTTGGTGTAGTGGTTAAGTGCACGGGGACTCTAATCTGGGAGAACCAGGTTTGATTCCCCACTCCTCCACTTGCACCTGGCTGGATGGCCTTGGGCAAGCCGCAGTTCTGGCACAGCTGTTCTTGAAAAAGAGCAGTTTCTGTCAGAAGCTCTCTCCGCCCCGCCTACCTCACAGGGTATCTGTTGTGGGGTGGGGAAGGGAAAGGAGTTTGTAAACTGCTCTGAGACTCCTTTGGGTAGTGAAGGGCGGGGTATAAATCCAATCTCTTCTTCTTCTTCTTTAAACAACAGGCTCTAACATGGTATCATATATCCAAGGTTGACTTGGGGATGCAGTTTTGTCTAGACTGGCCCTCACTCTCAGCCTAACCTACCTCTCAGGGTTGTTGTGAGGATAACACAGAGGAGAGGAGTTCAATGTAAGATACTTTGGGTCCCCACTGGGAGAAAGCAGGGGCACAAATTAAGTAAGAAAATAAATAAATAAGTCTTAAATCAATTGAGCATGCCTGTAAAAGCATACCACCTGGCTGAGCACAGCCTGCCACTTTGTGTACTGCTGAGGCTCATTTAGAACCACTGCTAACGGGTATTATTATTATTATTATTATTATTATTATTATTATTATTATTCAAACACATCTTCAGCCTGAAGAAGTATCCATCGGACTTTTAAAACAACACAAGACAGACTATTGCAGAGTAAATGAATGCAACAAGGGGTAACAGGCACACCAGGGATTTGGCCACTAATCCTGAGTATGCAAATTGGAGCATGATGAATGTCCCTATTTTCACATGTGAAACACTAGAGGTCATATCATACTTGTCAGAAAAAGCAAAGGACTATGTGTTGTCCACTGCCTCAGTCTTCAGGAGGTCACCACAGATTCAGGCTGTGGTTACACGGCACAGTGATTGCGCCTTGTTCCCGCTTTAATTTAAACGGGAATATTTTGCTGCGGGTTTGGATGTCTACAGAGCCATCCACCTTACCGGCTGCTGGCCGTCCCCCTCACCCTCGTCCCCATCCGGCAGCGGCAGCAGCTGCCCCTGGGCGGCTGCGGGGCGTCCTTGTCAAACTTCTAGGCTGTCAGTTTTTCCCCCCTCTTGCTATGACTCGCAATTACCGTGCGGTGTAACCACAGCCTGTCTCTACTCATGTAGGAAGCTTTCTTCCCCTCCTTGCCATCGGCCCAGTCGCCGCCAGCCTGGTGTGCCTTCTCCTGGCGCTGCGCTGCTCGGGTGCCATCTCTGCCACCTCCTTGCCGCCCCTGTCCAGGATGCCGGAGCCCCCACCTCTCGTTCGTGCCTCCACCAGGATGCTGTAAGCACTAACATTTTTTTTAAAAAAAAACCTACAGGGAGCGGTCAGACAGCCCTATTCGCAATTATTGCGAAAGAGGGCTGTCCATATAGGTGAAATCGCACGTTCAAAGCGCAAGATCCAAGTACTCGATTTTCCCGGGGTCAGGAAAACCTGTGAGCATTGCGAGAGTGAGCCTGCTTTGGCGTGGGAGGTGGATTGGCGCATGTGAACAGAAAATGTAAATGCGGGAGGAAACAGCGGCGAATCCCGATCAAAGGGACAGTGTGACCGACCCCTCAGTCAGCATCCTTTCCTTCCTGTTATCTGATCCCGCCCCCTTTGAAGTAGAATGCTATTCAGCATCTACAACCAAAACCCACATTTTTTGCTTAATTGCGGTTAACGTCACCTGTGACCTGTGGAGGGGAAGGGGTCCAATTGCCACCAACATGCATGAGCAAGGGATGGGACACTCTGCACCCTCCCCTCTCTCTCCTCTCTCCCCCCCCCTTTGGCTAGCTGCCGCTGGGCTACTCCAGGTTCTGCGGCTGGCTGGCTGGCCTGTTGGGAGGGGTGGAGCCCCGAGGGTTTTAAATTCAAAAAACAAATTACGAGGCAGTTCCGTTCAGACACAGATCCTCAGCTCACACTCCCCTGTGCCAGATTTCCTGCAGCATCATGCAAAATCCGCAGGGAATTAACACAGAACGCAGCTGAATCCTAAAATGCAGATGTTTTGTTCAATCTGTTCTGTGATTTCAAGAATACGCAGGCCATTCAGTAATTTTAAATATTGTGTTATTTCCCAAAACTTATTAGATTCGTGTACATCGTTGTAACTGATCTTGCACTGGACACGAACCGTAATAATAAAAATTTGCAATTAAAAAAAAAACAAAAACACATGGGCCCTTCAAGCCTTTCCCATTGTTTCCAATGGGCAATCTTGTCATTCTTTTTAATGCATCCTCCTCCAAGTTAAGTGCAGACTGGTCTTTGGGGAAGGGGAAAAAGATCCCTCCCTAGGGTCCAGTGCGCAAAGGATGGAGGAGTGTGTCGAATGCCCCCCCAGCAGAGGACCTCCCCAGGCTGCCCCTCTCCCGGCCCTCCAAATTGGGTGTGCCAGGTGAAAATTAAACAGAAGCGGAAATAGGGATGGGGGAATGGGCAGAGATGACTAAAGCCACGTCAAGCAGTCTGCTTACTATGCCCTCCGAATCAGAAGCTGAAGAGCAAAAAGGTCGAGGGAGAAAGCACTTTCAGACACCCCGGGGGCAAAGCCATGATG